CATAATGACCAACAACGAAGACCTATTGGGCCTAAATGCCTCTGCCTGTTTTCACTACATGGGTCAATCGGATGTTTCACGAAGCATCACTGCAGTAGCGGTGGATTCTTCCATTCAGGACATTGCGCCGGAAACCTTTTCGAGTTGTACCCATTTAACGCAAGTTGACATTTACGGTCACAATTTAAAGACGATAGGCGGGTCGTCCTTCAAGAAGTGCCAATCGATGAAAACGATTCTTTTCCCGGACTCGGTGGAACGAATTGAAGAACGAGCCTTTTCGGCGTGTGTGTCCCTCACTCAGATTGGATCGTATCCACCCAAGAATACCACTACTATTATTCATACATCATCATCTGCTGACGACCAAGACCGAACCAAGAAGATTCCACACACCAACCCGGCGCTTCCATCCAATCTAAAGTTCTTGGGCCCCGCTGCCTTTCACTATTGCAAGTCGTTGACTTCCATTTCGATTCCTTCAACAGTCGAAACGATACGAGAGTATACCTTCTTTTATTGTGAAGCTCTTGTCGACCTAACCCTGAAGGAAGGATTGAAAGTGATTGAGGAGCGAGCTTTCCAAGGTTGCATATCGTTGCAAAATGTCGCAATACCTACCAGTGTGGAGAAGATTGGAAAGTATGCCTTTTTCTATTGTTTGAGATTGACCGAAGCGACGCTTCCTAAGAAATTGACGGACATCAAGGCAAGATCCTTTCACGATTGCAAAGCTTTGAAGTTTATGAAGATGCAACATACCGCGATTCAATCCATTGAGGCGAATGGTTTCTACTTTTGCGAAGCCTTGTTGTATGTCGATTTCCCACCAACCTTGCAACGAATTCATCGCTCTGCCTTTGAATCCTGCAAGTCGCTCAAATCAGTGGCGTTTCCACCATCCCTCACGGCGATTGAACAAGGTTCCTTCCGTGGCTGCCGCTCGTTGATAGCCGTGGAACTGTGCAACGGCCTAGAGTGGATACTCTCCAAGGCCTTTGCGGATTGCGAATCGTTACGAATGATTGTCCTCCCCGCACACTCGTCGGATCGAGCAGGGGAATACGCCAAGAATGCGTTCTCGGGCTGTTCCATGTTGGAAGGTCGTTGCTTTGGTGGGGACCTCCTCACGTCTTTGACTCATCGATTTGACAAGCTCCCAATTCACAAACTCTGCTACAATGCTGGGAGTACTGCTTTGACTGTTGAGGACCTTGCGACTTGTGTGACGCAGCATGTAGTAAACCAGCCAGAGCAGGATGGTGCCTGTGTCGATTCCTTTGGCATGACACCCTTGCACATTTTGGGGGTTTCCGCAAAACCCAGAGAAGATTTCTTTCTTGAATTGACAAATCTGCTGCCCATCGATACGCTGACGCAAAACGACAAATATGGAAATAGGCCAGTGGATTACTTGTGCCAGAACGAGGCACCCAACACGGCCAACCTCATTCAAATGGTACTCCAGCGTACCATGTTGGATCGAATGAATCACTGGGGATTGGTCCAATGGAGGGAGGATCTCTCTCAAGCCATACGGTCGATTACCTCTGCAAGCAATGCAAGGGCAAAGGTAGCATTCTTGAGTTGGGTGGAATCCAAACTGGCACAATACGAACGTCTCGAGGTACTGTCTCTGTTGGAACTCACTCTTTGGAAGATCGCAGTCACTATGGCACATTCTCAAGAAGCAATAAGTTTTCCGGCAGAAATATTGGATCGATATTCCTGCCGGATACGATGTGGAGCAGAGACAATCATTCCGAATGTTTCTGAGTTCCTTTAGAACTTGACGAAACACTTTGAAAGACTTGGTATGACCAATTATAGGGTAGTTGTACTACAATACAAATGTTTTTTAAAATTATAAATATGATACAACTCGCATGGTATGTTTGGTCACTGGTGCAGGGGAAAAACTAGCTATTGCCAGATGTACCTACTGTCAATTGTTTTTCGTCTTGGCGTTTCAATCCTATTGCACCTCGCCAGTCCAATCGACGCGCTTCAGAAACGTTTCATCGGCAGACCTCGTCTCCATCTCTGCAGTCGAAGAATGGTTGTCTTCTCCTTCTGATGCCCCTAGTGCAGCCTGTTGCTTCTTGCTATTCTGATGAGGTTGTCCTTCATTTTGCATTGCTACAAAGGCATTCTTGGCATCGCCAATCATATCCTCCCCAAGAACAAAGGTATAACTATTCCGACAGGCCTTCTCCAATTCCTCCACATCAAAATACGCCATGTCATGAGGATTTTCGACGCTTTCTCGTCTCGTGCTCAAATCCAATTCTTTGGCATCGTCAATGTTCCGATCTTTCTCAGCGCCCGCCCTCTTATCACTGCTAGTAGGTTGATCAACAGCAAGCTTGCGACGACTACTGTGCGCAGACAATGCTTTCGAGGCATATGGATTGGAAGAAAAGGTACCAATATTGGACGATCCAAATGATTTGACTCCCATCAGACAAAGGAAAGAGTGGAAGATAGGCTCGCAATGGACCCTCCGTTGCCGCTCTTTAATCTTTGGACGAAAATAGCAGATCATGTTGAATGCACCTTGCAAAGGGAACATGAACTGTGCAATGACTGAAAACCAGAAGAAGCCAGCTGTTTTCACAATCTCCTCTTGCCAAAAGTAAAGGTCCATGACACGCAAGATTATCATCAATCCATATGGAAGGACACAGGAAAGAAAAAATAAGAGAGCCTGGATGCCAGTCTCTTTTGCAATCGTATTGCCCGTCTTGTTGGCATGATACCTGGCTTGCATTTTCTTTTGTTGCTGGAGCACCGTGTAATGGAGAGTAAAGGTGGCAATGACCTTCACAGTGGTCAATGCGTTCAATTCCACCAAGCCTCCTAAAAATACAAAGGCAGCCCGATGGGCATTGTCATGCTCACAAGAGGCTACTCCGCCGTCATCGTCTCCATCGTATCGACAGCCAAATGGCGAGGGCGCCGCCCAGCAGTAGAGGAAGATATCGTGGGTAGAAAACATCTGAGTCGTTAGACCAACGGTGACGCCGATTATGGCGTAGACAAACGGTATAATGTGCAGCCAAGGTCCTATTCTGTGGGAAAACTGTCGTTCTGTCCAATTGGTACGAATACTACTGCAGTAGTACACCGCCAAGGAGCTACATTTTGAATGATTTGAATGATTTATGAGAGGATGGCCTAGTTGCTAATCACCAACATATATATTGTAAACACTTACGCATTGTATCCCATGCATACGACAAATAGAAACATAAAGGTAGCCCCCATTGCTTTGCAGCTTGTCTCATTCCCAAAGGCTCCGTAGACCCCAGTCTCTTCTGGAGCTGCCAAACCAGATATTATGGAACAGAAGGCCACCGATATGTTTGTCACAGAGATGAGAAACCATAATTGGGAATAGACTTTTTGTAATCGACTCTTCTTGTCCACGTTGACAAGATGATACACAATCACCGAAGAGCATGCAATTGAGAAGATAGCCGGGATTTTGGTGCTCCAGAATAATATCCTTTGTTGTTCTGGTGTGTAGATGGAAGTCATTCTTCAGAAAGACTCAACGTTGCATGATCAAGCACTTGTTTTATATTCTTCTTGATACGTTGATGATGATGAGGCGGGTCATTATTATAGCATATTCAATAAAGAGATGCGGTCTCATGTAATAATCCTAATATTTTATATATATCACGGAAGACGCGGACCGCACACATACCGGTACACGTACTATATATAGAGGAGAAGTTTGATATTCGCCGTTTGAAAATAACATGGATATGCGCGGAATATGCGCGGAGTTTCGCCAATTTATTGGAAAATATTAGGCACAACCATACACAGCACACAGTACACAGTCCCTTGTGTTTGATGGCGCGTAATCCCTCATTTTCAATAATATGTTTACAGTATTGGCAGAACAAACCATTAGTGTGAAAGTATTCGGTGGATAAGATAGATTGTTTGCTGCATTATCCTCAGCCTTCTCCTTCGGTTCCTTCGAGTCTTGAGTTGGCCAAGCATGATGAAGATCTATTTTGGCCACACCATAAGGCCCAATACCATTCACTTCTTTGCCAACTTCAATGTATACGTGTTGCAACTGCTTTGACGACCATATCAACAAGTATTGGTCTGCGCCACTAGCAAGGAAGCGCAAATACAACCTCCCTGTAGATCCCTGTACAAGACGAAAGTAGGATACCATAAGATGTGAACAGGACTGCCGGAAGTAGGAGCTTTCGATTTCACTTGCATGTCTCGAACAGCAGATAAGTCACCACTCGATCAAGTTGATCCTTTTTATTCTAGACCTGCCTGTTCAAAAAAGTACACTGTATGATCATGTGGTTTCACCATTAGGTATCCATTCCGTTTCATAAATGCATCCAATTGGGACCGAAGAAACGTTTTGTCGGTCGCTTCAGCGTTGGTAAAGTTTCCAAGCTCCATTATCACAGAGACATACGTCGGCGAAATCGACTTTTTCTGGATTGTAACATGGTAGATGAGGCTATACAAATGATTTTGATCGCACGGTACGTACACATCACGAAGTCTCCTGCGCTGATTCAGGATCTGGAGCTGCCATTTGCGATCCAGGTAGCTGTCTCCAACCCATCTCAAATTGAAATAGACCAATTTACCCGCGACTATCACCTGATTAGCGATCCTATATCTGCCAATCTCATAGGATTTTGACCACAACTTGTAGGGCGTAATAGCATCAAGTACACGCTTTGCTTCATAATAGTCAGCCACAAGCAGATCAACCTCCAAATGTGCTGGGTCAATAACTGCGATCTCGTCCGGCATTTTCTCAAAATTGCGCAGCACCACGTATTTTGTTCCTGCAAACTCAAGAGCATCAAAAACCTGCCGTAGAGACTCAAATCTCCGTTGCTGATATTCGAATGGAAGTTCGAGTGCCTCCATGTTCTCCTTCGTCTCTTGAATATTATCAGTAGCGTGAATCCCATGGCCGCCACCCATCATAGTCCTTAGTTCTTTTTTAAGGTCAAATACCGAAACGTTCACCAATCTTTTGCCTTTCGTAGAAGGTCTTTCCTCGTATTTCGGCTCATGGTCGATAAGGAAATACATGTTGAATGCAGTTGTTCCTCGAGAGTCCGCAACGGGAACTCGATAAAATTCTGCCAGAAACTTGAAACGCTCGGTTTGGTTATCAAACTTGGCATGCTGCACCACCTTACGAATTTTCAAATTTGGCCAGCTCTCCATTGCTGAACGAATTTCTTGTTCTGAATAGTGCAATTTCCAATCAACCAAAAAATGTTGTTCCATTTCCAGATGTGAAAATTTGGTCAATCTCCTCCTTATTGCTGAACTTCTTTGTTCGCCTGAATGATATGGAGTCGTACTACCGGTACGTGATGTCTCTCGAGCCACGTGGTTGAACACATCAATGGAAATCAAAGTTGATAACAGCGTTATAGTGATCGCAAGCAGTATTAGTGGTACAAGACGTATAACATCATCTCCTCTCATGATGACATTCTTCTTCCAAAAATATATTGTGTGATATTGTCGCCCCGCAAAATTCGTACCATTTTTAAATATGTATTGGTCGACGTACGGACGCTACTTGGTAATGATACAGTCAGTAATGGTCCCATAGTATAGGTACCTGGTACGACAACCAAATAGTGTGATCGCATTCAATTTCTTCAGCACGTTGATCGTTTAAAAAATGAGATCTAAATTATTATGCATTATCCTCGTCCTTCTCCTTTGGTTCCTCCGCCGGGGGAATCTTTCTCGTGCAACAAAATCCTCTCAAATCTTGTTTCGAGTCCGACTTCATGAACGCCAAGTTGCCCAACATGATCAACAAGCAGACGACAAAGGCGGATTGAAATCCGAGTCGATCATTTGGTCGAGGAATGATCAAGGTCCCCAACACAATGACAATGAGCGAGCAAAAGAAACAAAACCATCCGGCACCCCGATGATAATGTTCCCACACAATGCGCGTTGTTGTTTTTGGGTGATCGGGTGAAATGTGCGGTCTGAAATAGGCATTGAGGGGTTGCAACCATCCCAGTGCCATGACAATCGATCCCACCAGTCCATGAACGAATCGAGTATCCCGATCGGAAAAGACATCAAAATTGACCAGGGCAATGATCCAACCGACAGTCGCAACCAAAAGTCCCGTTGGTTGACAAATCCTATGAAACTTGAACCAGGCACTGTTCGAAGACGGATGTAATTTAAAGTAACGAGCCACCAACATGCCATTGGGCAACAAAAGGCCCCATCCTATCAACATGCAACTTCCATGAATCAATCGTAAATTGCGAAAGGAGGCCGGCGTCTCGGTCGTAAAGAGCTGCGATTGTTCTTCTGGCGTCAAGATATCCAAAATATTAGTCATTCCATAAAATCGTTGACAGGGATCGGTAACGGATTCATCAAGAATGGGGATGGTCGAAATGGTCGTATTGGTGTGAATCGGATCTGCTAGCAAGGTTAATTCGGGAACCTTTAGGTCGTCTTCCAATTTGAGACTAGTCACTTGAGCCTTGACGACGGCACGGAGTCCCTCCTGTTGTCGGGTAAAGGCGACGTCGGTAGGATCCCCGCCATCGGGCTCACATTCCGTACAACCCAATGTTTGACTTCCGACCTGTCGTCCCAAAGTGACCATGGCTTGTCGACCGGCATCATCGAATCGCCATCCTCTGGCATATTCTTGACTGCCAACGTTTACCAGCATTTCAAAGGGCGATGAAAAACAAGAGTTAACGTCGACCAAGCAATGAACCGAATGAAGTTCTGGATTTTCCAACGAAAAGACGGTTGGATTGTCCAATAAGGTAGTGCGTTCAATGCAATAGGTATCCAAAACAAATCCTTCCGCGCAGATTTCATCACCGACTTGCAAATTGGCGATAGTCTGAGCATTGGCTGTAGCAGCAACAATAGCTAATAGTAGGAGAGTTGTCGTCGTCATAAAGTGCCTTGGGTGAAAGATTCTTGACGTTGTCATGATGATGATGTTGAAGATAAAGATATAGGAATTGATGTCTGAAAGAATGCCTGAAAATTCCTTTCTTGAAGCAAGCTAGATATTTTTGATGAGGAAAAAAAGCGTATATGATGTGGTTTGTTTTGCTTGGTGGTCACTGTATGCCTTTTGGTTTCGTCGATGACAAATAAAATGAAACTCTCAACATGCACTCTCAAAATGACTCCGTGATCATATCAAATATTGAATATGTTCTTGTATGGTTTTCTTCTCGGGCAATCTTTTTGAAATTGCTCACGCAGTCTTTATTCATGGAAGCCTACTCCAGTACCTGGTACCTCAGAAAGTATGACGTTCGTTGTGTATTTCTGGCGAGTACGCCAGCCAGTCCCTCGCTAGAATGCCGTTTGCCGCCACAAAACCAAAAATTTCGAGCCTCCTGCCGGTCACGCAAGCCTAAGTGTGGGTGATAGACGCATGCAGAGGTCTTGGTTGAACAACTTACATTGGCTTTTTTTGAGAGGGATAACAAGTACCGGTGACGGGTCACCAATTCCGACAAGATATCTTTTCCTCACATCCTTTCGCCTTATTGTCTTGGAAGATTCTTCCTCACCTGATGATTTCACATTGAGAACAGTAAACAACAATCACAACAACAATCACAACCACAAAACCAACACAATTAATCTGTCTGATTAGAGAGTCTCATACGGTATCAGCCATACAAGAGCAGAAAGAGGTTTTGTGAGGAGGTGAACATGAATGGACATAATGATCCTTACGGTCAGAGTCACAGCAGTCAGAATGACAGGCAAAGGCACAATAGCGGTTCAGATCAGCAGGTAATAGATCTATCATCACCACCGTCACTTTTGAGGAGATCTCAGTCGGAATCGGCAGCTGCAGCAGCTCGTTACGGTCGACAGGCGCAGCACATCGTCGCCCAATATCAGCAGCAGCGAGGGGGTCCTCCGGATATCATTCATTATGTGGATGATAGTCCAGCCACAGCAGCAAGATCAGGAACACCACCTCGACCTCCAAGGTTAACGCCGGATCAGCGATCACAATCCATGTCCACACCCACCTCACGGTTGAACCGATATTCCTTTCCGGATCTTGCAGCTAGCTCTGCTGCAACACCGTCGCCGTCCAAGATACCGCCGCAGAACAGTTGGAGTCATCGCCCTTCCAGTACTCGATCGGCAGATCACCTCATAAGGAGAACAGGATCAGCGGATACCTCCTCCTCCTCCTCGTATGTCATCAAGTTTCAAACACTGCGATTGGAACACGGCAAGCTGTTGGAATCCCATCAGGCGTTGCAACAAGACAACTTGACGTTGCAATCGCATTCCCAAGACTTGAAAACGAAAACGGTACAATTGGAAGCTCGATTGCTCGAAAGCATGCAAGCTCGATCCGCCCGAGAGCAAAAATTTCAAGACGAGATGAAGCGACAACGGGGCAGCATGCATTCTCTTTTTACCGAGCTAGCCGACAGCAAGCGACAAGTGGAGCTCCTCAAACAGCAATTGCAAGAGACCGTCTCCAAATTGGCACTCCAACAAGCATTGACGGCCAACATTGCCTTTCAACAGGAACAAGAAGAACTTGAATATCAAATGGAACTCGAACAAGCAAGAAAGCAGCAACAACACCTTGTTGGCGAGGGTGCCGCCGAAATGATGATTCCTGCATCTGAAAGTGGCGATTACTCGGAACATGACGACGCTCGATCCAACTATTCCAACAATACCCGAGATTCGGGGTTTTCCAGGTTGGGCAACTTTTTCAATCGCAGAAAAGTGCCTGCTGGTGGTAGTGGAGGACCGATGATGATGAATACGATTCATACTACGTCAACAGGGACAAGAACTCCATCATCGCCTGTTGTTCCATCGACGACATTGGAATTTGGACAATTTCAGAGTTATGAAGAATCCAAGAATGATCTCGTTGAACAGATCCACTATCATGGTGGCGGTGCGGACGTTCACAATCTGTTTGACTTGGACACTACCACTACAGCTACTAGTACCGAAGATTCGTCCAACCATAATGGGCTCTCATCATCCACTTCGGAGGACTACCTCAAGACAGTTGCTACTACGAAACCTCCACAACCACAAGTGGCTACTGCCACCAAACCACTCAGGAGGGGCAAACAGAAACAACCAGAAATGAATTATGGTCAAACGTCAGCAGGCATGCCACCCGCAGCCCCCATGAGCCGTCTGGACCGAATTCGACAAAAGAGACGTAATTTGGAGAGCATGTTTCTAAAAAATGGAGCTGGTTCCGCTACTTCTGGTTTGACGGCCAACTCGAGCTTGTCATCAACCTCCTCCTCATCGAATGCATCATCGTCGATCATTATGGCGAGGGGTACCACCAACTTTCGGGCGAGAAGCAACAACAACAACAACAACAGCCCCAACCGAAACGTCGTGAACCGAAATGTGGTAAACTTGATGAATCATCGACGACATGATGACTGATGAGCAATTTTTTTAAAAGTGTGAGAAACGGAACACACACTCTCTCATACATTTGAATGAGTGGAGGCGCACGTGCTACTGTACACTGTGATTGGATGTGATTTTGGGGATTTTTGAATTGGGACAGACGAATGAATGAATCAATCATAGTATTAGGGATCAACAGGAATACATACCAGTTTGGTTGGATTCACTTCTTCATCAATATCTGACATACCAAGTAAGAAAGCATGATATAGTAACAGGGTATTATAATGATGTAAAACGAATACAATGGTAGTTTTTAACTCTGTGTTCACTATGTGACACATTGAACACAGTCGCTCGAAGCGTGATCCTGCAAGAAATGCACATTGATGGCGCTATATATACTACTACGAATACCACAAAGGGTACATGTTTAGCTTCTACGTATGACATACAGGCGGGCGAGTTCTAAAATGAAAAAATACAAAAGATGCGAGCGTTTTACTATACATAGTAAAATTTTGACAGCATCATCGCATTGCCAAAACATAATATTACTTGCCTCGCACCGGTATAATAGTGACTCCAAAACGAACTTATAGCTTGAGTCATACAATAAGAAGAAGAGATTTTGCAGCAACAATGACTGACATTTCGTTGCCACGGATCGAAGAAACTTACGGTCAAGATGATGATGCCCTGCAGATTAACTTCCCTTCGGAGAGAAAACCAATGTGTGCGAGATTGAAGACCCTACAAATCTCTCTGCCGATTTTCACTGCATTTACGTGGAAGGGTCGATCACTACTTTCAATGATCCCGTTCTCAAATTGCTCAACATCCTACGGAATGACAGTAGAATCTGGAACTATACATTAGATTTCTCAGAAACGTGGATCGCGCATATCAACCAAATTCCGAAGTGTTTTCGGAAATTCTCGTGGCCGCAATGAACAAGACAAAATGCCTTGTTATTCTATGTGAACTCATCGCAGACACAACAGTTTACTCGTGTCTAGCCACATCAGGCATTTCGGTTCTTGAGGAACTGATATTGGTGGATGCTGAATATTTGGGAGTAGACGCTGCAACAGCATTGTCTGAATATTTGATGGGCACCACTTCGCTGAAGCGATTGGATCTGATGGGTGACGATTTCCCAGACGCACGAGTTTGCACTGCTTTGGTCGAAGGATTGGAAAGGAATCGCTCCCTCGAGAAGTTTCAAATCGATGTGAACGGTTTTGGGAATGATGGGCTCTTTCGCAAGCTCTTGCGAGCATTACAAAACCAACCCAACCTTCGCTCATTGTATCTTAGCGAGCAACACAACATGTCAGAACAAGCTATGGAGGTATTGCGAGAATGGTTTAGCAGTGCAGACTGCAGATTGGAAGAACTTTCTTTTCTCAGCGTACAACACTTGCCTGCATTCAATAGCTCGAGAAGCGGAGGAAAAGCATTTGAAAACAAAACGTTGCACCGACTTCTCTTGGTTGATTCCAATGTCTCGAGTAACGAATTGGGAGGATTGTGTAATGGATTTCCAAATTTGAAGGAATTGACGCTCATGTACAACAATATTTGTGATCTATCCCCATTGGAATCAATTTTGTCGAAGGAGGACTGCCAGATCCAAGAGTTGTATTTAAACAACAATGATATAAGCTATGAAGCAATCATGAAGTTTAGTGGCAAAATAAAGGAGATGAAGAGTCTTAGGCGTTTGGGATTACAACAGAATCCGTTTCTCGATGAGATAGCGCTTCAACCGCTTTTGAATAGATTGAATGTCAGCAAAAGCCTAGAACAAATCCGCATGAACAAGAGGAATCAAATCGAATGCGGCGCGGATGCAATCGAATTGTGTCATACATTGAACGTCAATCGAGGGGGGCGACACGGCATTGAAGTGGAGTCGGCAAACCGTAACATCTCAGCTGCACTTTGGCCTCGCATTCTCCACCGTGCCTCATCCATGAACTACTTTTTCAACCTTTTGAATGGCGAGAACTCTGATAGAAAGCCGTTGGACAAAAGTCCAAGGGCTGCAGTTGTGTATTCCCTGCTACGGGACAACGCCTACATTTTTTATCATTGTGGAAAAGGAGAGGATGAAAATGTTCCAAGTTCTCCTGCACCAAAGAAGCACAAGGTCGACCCTAGATGAGATCGAAGCAAGCACCATGGAAGGAAAGCATGCCACATGAGGCGATATAATGGTGACCGAGGAATGCTAGAAGGAAAGCGAAGATGGCTTTGCACTAGCAATAGCTACACGTCTGGAATCGATCAATCAATCACGGCCATGACTTACTCATTCTTGCGGGATCGAAACCGACCAACACTGATACTCACTGGTGTGTATGTTTGTGAAACATGGAGCTTTCATAAACTAAATGGTTTCTTAGAAGGGGCGTCATAGGCTTATTATTGTAGATCAAAGTTGTTGTGTTGTAGAATAGCAACAGTAGAGTACTGTAGGATCCTGGCTCATCATGTGGCTATGGACATGAACCGACTGCTTCGACTATCTCCGAAATCGTGTCGCTTTCGCTCGCGCATGCAAATTGAACATCGCAATGACATGAATGCAAACTGCAAAAAGAAACACAGTGTAGACCCTCACTTTCAGCTTCATAAATTTCCATTTTGAAAGATTTTCAATCAGCATCATCATGCAATCATCATCCACCACCATTAGCATGCTGAACAACAACATAATGGTTTCTAATAGTACTGCCATGCCCATCAAGAATTTCCTTTTTGCCAATGCCAATCTCATCATCAAGGTTTTATTGGTCGGTATTACCGGTGTGTTGTACCCTAGTGAGACTGGTTTCCTGGTGGTGGTGTATGCCACGGGGGCTCACATTGCGGCCAAGGACATGATTGTGAACCTGGTGCGAGATGTGCTTGGTTGGAGTGACTCTCATTTTTGCGGGTGCCATTTGGATGGCTCGCCTTGCTGCCGAACAATGAAAATGCATCATTCGATATACTGCTGTATAATATATAAAATAGGACATGGAATAATTCCATCAAACCAAAATCTCTTGACGTTCTTTGTCGATCGTCTTGTTGTTGTACCTTGTAGTAGTACTAATTGTAGTTGTTTGTATAGTAACTCGCATTATATTCGGTTCAGTACCTGGTAAGACTTCCCAGGAGCATTCTGGAAAAGAGTAGGAATCGAGCTGCGTATACATTACAGAGCTACTCTCTGGCGGTAGACCGTAAGTTGAAGAGTTCCGCATCGTCTGGGATCGTGATCATGCGTCTCCTCCTTTCGGTTCATGTCGAATGAATGAATCATCAATAAAATCAATGATCCCAAAGGATATCGAGGCATGTACCCGGTATAGTTGACAGCAGGCTCTCGTTCTTGCGGGTACATATACCGGTACATAATGTACCGGTAGATTATACACAAACAATATTTCAGGACACCTTTCCGCTCGTTCATGGCGGATCATAGGAAAGATGATACCGGTAGGCATCTATTCTACCGCCGGTACCTTTGCTTTCGGGGAAACCAGTTGACAGTATACGAACCTGGTGGGCTCCGTTGGTATCTGGTGTAACATGGTCACACAAGCATTGCGAAAGAAAAAAAACGGCACTGATATGAGTGCAACGATATATGCCGGAAGTATTGTCACTTGTTCCGGTATTCGACAAAAGATAATGTGAGATCGTGAAAACAAGGCTATCCGCTATGGTAACCACTGTCACAACACGAGGGCGATTGACTCTTTTTCCTTCGGTTTATATATATGCTGCTTTTACGTTCACTTGAAGCTGAAACTAGACTTAGGGTCAAAGGTGGCGATGGTAGCGAAAGTGCTCACAGTTCGATTTGGTTGGGTCATTATCCCAAGCATGTACCACTCGCGCTTAAATAAGAAGTCTCCAAAGGAGGGAACTTGAAAGTCACTATTCACAAAACTTCCAATTCTATCATGGAAGTGCGTTTGCTCAACAGAACATTTATATAAGACAATATCCTCAAAGGTCAATACCGCCCCGAAGGAGTAACTTATAATGCATACAAACGAAGTATGAGAGTCGCTCGGAACATTCGGTTCTTCGACGAATTCTGGTTTGTGCACGTGTGTACCGCGGTAGGTTGGGCAGTACAGTATACGGCGGTATTGTCTGATCATATCATCGTAATACAATTATCGTGATCATAATCTCTGTTGCCAACATACCGGCACACACAACCAACGCTAAAACCCAAAACCTCTACAACCTCCCACTTACAACTAAGATGAACACCCCGAAAAAACTCGAAGACGGGAATCTTTCCGAAGGCACGGATTCCACTGACTTGGACGTTTCGTTTCAAGTATCCATGCGGACGGATAATGGTCTGCGAACAAAGCAACAGCAACAGCAACAGCAAGAAGCTACTGTTACCATTGCTAGCACAGCCGAAGAATCCAAGGAAAACAACAACAACGACGAGGAGGACGAGGACGAGGTTAGCCCTGCTAGCGGGACCTTCTCCTACGAACATGTCACTGAGATCTTCCTTAGGGAACGGTGCATGAGCGTCTACACCGATCCGAAGACTGCCAAGAAATCCTGTTTTGTGGAGGATCTACAAACGCTCTTTGATGCCGGTGAGCTCCAAGAGACATTTGAAGAAGAAGCTGCTGCTAATGCCGATGCCTCCAAGGCTTCTTCCAATACCTCGACCAAGACCTGCTCCTTTGGTGGAGTTGAGATCCGAGAATACCGAATCATTCCTGGTGACAGTCCCGCTGGATTCAAGGGACCTCCGCTCACCATGGGCTGGACTCCAGTCTCGGCCATGCACGTCTCTGATGTCGAAAAGTTCGAATCCGTACGCATCGAACATCGTCGGACAGAACTTTACATGTCAGCCACTCAGCGAGTTGAAATTCTAACCAATCAAGGCTTTGGATCCAGCGAAATCCAAAAGTGCACCAAGGATGCCAACCTGGCAAGACGTCAACGCAAGGAAAGCACGTCGACTCTCAAGCATCAAGATGCCTTGGAGAAGATTGAATCCCTGCGACGAAAGACGTTGCATGTTTTGACCTTTGGACAGCACAACAAGGCCCAGAAGGAATACCTTAAAAAGTATGTTCCCATTCATGGTGTCGCCCCCAATCACGTCACTGCGCAATTGGCGTAGAGATGAGACCAACTTTTACCTGAGGAACGAATGGGCCGTTTTGAATCACCTTTTTTCTCCTGGTCCATTCGTTTTTTGTCTGTACTACAATGAAGATTTTGGAAGTGAACAACAATAGATATACACTAATACTAGGAACAAACAACAAACTACCATAGTTATTGAATTACATGATTGCAACACAGATATACATACATGATCGGACCTATGCACATTCCAACGGTGAGGAAATAATGATGTATCAGCAGAGTAATTTTTGCAAAGACAGTTTGAAGCCATCTTTACAACCTGACACGCAGGGTACATTCTGGCACGTTCGATTTGGCAAGATACAGCTATTGCTTTAAAAGACAGCCAGCAGAAGGTTACAACCAAATAAAACAGGAGATTGCTGGATACATAGAATAGGTGTAGTACACATTATTGGATATGCCCATCATTCGTTCCAATGCTGTCTGAAATGACTGCATCTTGTACTGTATCGCTTGTACTCGTAGGTATCAAAGAGGAGTTACTATGTTGTATAAAAAGAATTACGGTATAGTGATTCACAAAATTTCAATTCAAAATGTGTTGATACGATACACGTACCAGGTACCGGTATAGTGTACCGTACCGGTAGCATGCAAGATATGTTGATACGTACGGTAGAACAAGGCAATTTCTAAGGCTCGCCCATCAAATGTTTATTTATTTAGATATGGATCAAGACTTCCTGTGATCGCGGTTCGATCACGGCGATACTTCTATTGCACTTCTGGTCACTTTCCATCCGCCACGAAAATAGCAGAAAGTTCGAATTGATTCCCAGTTGTGCGAAACATCGGAACTGCATAGGTTATAATTTTCCAATCTCTCTCTTTTTGCCAATCTAAGGTCGATACCAATTACAACAACTATACACATACAATACCATGATGCTACAAAAACAGAGTGACAAAAGTTTTGTTCTTCCCGAAGCAGGCACAGAATCCACAGACTCGTCGTCGGATGTCTCCTTTCAATCAGCATCGTTACGCACAGCTGATTGTGATGAGTCATCGCCAACGTTATCGCCTTTGAAGCATTGTGTTACCATTGGTAGCACTGACTCCAAAGATATTCTTTCTTTGATGAACCGTCGGAATGGTAACCCCAGAGACAATGTATTTACTACTAGTAGCAGGAAACTGTCGGATCGGCGAGTCTCTGAGATGTTTCTGAAGGAACGACGCATGAGCCTCTACGACTCCTATGCAAGGTCTTCCAGCAAGTCATTTTTCGTTGATGATCTACAAACACTTTTCGATGCACCAGAAGAAGAAGAAGATGCTACTAGCTCGTCCACGCCGTCTTCCGTTATCTCAATCAACAAGACGTGTACGTTTGGTGGGGTTGAAATCCGAGAGTACCCAATCATTGCTGGTGACAGTCCAGCTGGATTCAAGGGACCTCCACTCGCCATTGGTTGGACTCCAGTCTCCACCGTTCGCTTTCCCAATGTCGAAAAGTACGAATCCGTTCGCAGTAGACATCGTCGAACTGCCAAGGATCTTACCATCCCGGCTAGTCAGCGCATGGTCATTCTGACCAATCAAGGCTTTGCCCGATCCGAGATCCAAAAGTGTACCAAGGATGCCAACCTCGCAAGGCGGCAACGCAAAGAGACAATGGCTACCCTCAAATATCAGGCTACCTTTGAGAAGATCGAATCCGTCAAAAGAAAGACCCTTAACGTGGTGACCTTTGGACAACGCAACAAGGCCCAAAAGGAATACCTCGAGAAGTATGTCCCTAATTATGGTGTCGCCCCTACTCCTGTGGCATAGCCTCGTAGGCGCTAGTGACGGGGGGCATCTATTTGTATTATTACTACTACTCGACGAATGGACAATTTTGAATCTCCTCCATTGGTTATTTTTTTCTGTAATACACGATTTTTGAAGTGAACACTAACAATGATACAGGCAATATATAAGAATATGTAACATACCTAGTCAAATATTGAATTAATTTCATTGAAAGTACCGAACTTGATTGGAACACATGCTCCTCTGATCCACATACTACAATGATCCCATGTTACTATGATATGACGGTGAGCAAAAGTCGGATATGGTACGTGTGAGCACTCAAGGTGCGAACCTCTGTCATAATAGAATCATGACGATGGTGGAGTTATTGTGCGAAAAGTCGAGTTGTGGCATCTCTTGGGTGGGGGAATAAACACTACCACACTTGTCGATCTGAAATGTTCAGTCGACATAGTCGTGTATCATATAGCTACAGTAGATTACTTTTTTTTGACATTCGTATTAGTCGGAATGAATTAAAAAGTAGGCTAAATAAATACACAACCAGAACACCATCAATACTCGATCGCGATCGTCTCATCGACTTCTCTTTCAACATACGTTCACTCTGATACGCACAATAACAATTGACACAATACGAAAGCAAGCAAAGCTGATATGCCCTGTCCTTGGAAAGAGGAGACGGGCCACTTTGAAGAAAATCGATACAAAATCTAACGACTACTGTACTTATTACAAAGATGATCCAAAAACAAGAAGACAAATTCGGTGCTCTTTACGAAGGCACGGATTCCACATCAGACTTGGATAATGTCTCACTTCAAACATCTTCATCACGCTCAGATGGTGAATCACCAGCACTGCCTTTGAAGCAACCTGTTACTATTGGTAGCACTGACTCCAGGGACATCCGTTCCTTGATGGATCTCCATGCCGAAGACGACTTTCACAACAGGAGACTCTCCGATCAACATGTCTCTGAGATCTTTCTTAGGGAAACGAATAGCCTCTACTCCAATACAAAATCATCCAAGATATCCTTTTTCGTCGAGGATCTGCAAGCACTTTGTGATAGAGACGAGGCCCAAGAGACTGCCCCTTCCAAGCATTCTTCTTCCGGTATCTTGATCAAGACCTGTAGCTTTGGTGGAGTGGAGATCCGAGAGTATCCAATCATCCCGGGTGACAGTCCAGCTGGATTCAAAGGACCTCCACTCACCATCGATTGGGCTCCTATTTCCACCGTTCGCTTTCCAAATGTCGACAAGTACGAATCTGTTCGCAGCAGACATCGTCGGACCATCAAGGAGCTTTCCATACCGGCTAGTCAACGCATGACCATTTTGACCAATCAAGGCTATACCCAATCCGAGATTCAAAAAAGCACCAAGGACGCAACGCGTGCAAGGCGCCAACGCAGGATAACAATGTCTACCCTCAAATATCAGGTTATTATGGAGAAGATCGAATCAATTCAAAGAAAGACTGTCAACGTTTTGACCTTTGGACAACACAACAAGGACCAGAAGGAATACCTAAAGAAATATCTTCCTTCTCACGGTGTCATCCCTACTCCCATGGTAGCATAATAGATTACCAGACGAATGGAATCCTGTGCAACGAACTAACGAACTAATGAACAACATTTTGAATACATTACACTCTATGTTTTAAAAAAAAATACAAATGATCTCTCATCTCTAGCAATCTGGTCTACCAGATATCATCCCAGTCATCATCCGATTCAACATGGCCTTGCAACCAGGATACCTCAGGAGCGAGTACAGCATATTCGTGTGGTGATGAAGATGGTCCAGGAGTATGATTGTTCCAAAGAAAACCAATCACATTGGGTAATACTACATCTGCACCACAGGCAAAGCGGTTGTTGTTCATCTTCCACAATGTCTGTTCCAAAATCGATGTGGCCTCTATTCTGGTGCAGGTCACCAAACGATCCAGAATATCGTCAAGGGCCTTGCGTCTAGTCGGAGCGTCATCGTCCCAAGATCCGGATTCCTCCACTTTGGTCACCAAGTCCAATTTCCACGGCTCCCACAGCCCCCAACTCGATATGGCCGTCACCACTGTCCGTTCCAATATCATCTTGATCAGTGAGATTGCCTTGTTGGACCCATTGATCAGTAGGTAGTCCATCATAGTCTTGCCCCGTTTATCCTGGTGTGAAAGAATATTGACTGGATACTGTTCCAAGAGGATCTGCAAGAAATCTGGCTGCAAGGACGCAGAAGTGGCAATGAGATGAAATGGCGTCATTCCGAGAGTGTCGGACGCGCCACATTCGTCTCTGACCCAGCCTGCCGTTCTGATTATTGCGTTCAGACCATCTACATCCAAAGTCGATGAATGGTAACACGCTTTGTGAAGTGGTAAATTGGTGAACCTGTCGGAGAAATCCTTTGCCTTGAATGGGCACTCGATAAAGGCGAGGGATCCAATGACTGTAGAGGACGGAATAGACAAGTTCACCAAACTGGGACATGCGGCAAAGCAAGATCTTCCCAATTCCAGACTGGTGGTGTCGGCCGAAAACTCCACACTCAAAAGCCTGTGACAATCCGCAAAGGCACATTTTCCAAGAACCATGTGTGTTGGTGACGGTATCGATACTGCGCACAAGGATTTGCATTTCCAAAAGGCATACTCTTGAATCTCTTTTAGCCCTTTCCGGAATTCAATATCCACTAATGAATGGCACGATTGAAATGCATGTTTCCCAACAATAGCCACAGTCGAAGGAATAGCAACATGTCCCAAAGAGTGACAGTCGTAAAAGGCCCGGTCATCAATCACCTGCAATCCCTCCGGCAAGTTGATGTCCACCATGTTGGAGCACCGAGCAAAGGCATGTTGACCAATAGTGACCACCGTGGACGGCAGGGCAACAGATTCCAAGAAGGAGCACGCAATAAAGGCAAACGGACCAATTCGTAGCAGACCTTGGTACAACTCCACATGCTCCAGATTCGCATGGTACCCAAAGACGCATTCCTCTAGATTCTGGCTTGAAGAATTCATTCTTTGCCTGTGCCATTCTCCAGACAGATGCAAGGCAATGGTATTCCCACTATTCTCATCAAGTGAAGTGACCAAATTCAACCAATCCTCTGGTATCGTCGAGGTACTAGTAAATCCAACGGTATTTTCAGCAGATGATTGAATGATCAAATGAGTAGTGTCTTGAGGTATGTCTTGACGCTTCATCGCTGCTCGAAAGACAAAGGTGCTTTGTTGGTGCGCGGATATCGCATCTTCTTCTCCTAAGGAACAAGTCAGCAAACGGAAAATCATGTTTGTTGAAATTTCTCTGGGCGGTATAGTATCATCAGCGTGTGCTGCTGGTGCTTGATTAAAAGACGCTTCAATCGAAGGGAAGGTAGACTTGAAAATAACGCTGTATGAAACGACCTTCCAATGCTTTGATGCAGGATCGCATCTTGTATGTTATTATTTTCAAATTTTGGAAGCTTACAATAATAATAAAATAATATTCAAATGATTCGAAAATAAGGAGGAGAGAAGCAGGCGAGTGAGTGAAGTCTTTTGTCGTTACGACATCGTTTCAAATTGAAACTGACGTCAAAAATTGTGTCCGAAAATGACTGCTATGACTGCATGACCCGATTCAGTCGTAGTAATACAAGGGCAAGATCCATTTCGTATTTGTGTAATATTACGGAAGCTTCTTAAACAAACCTTCCACCAACATCATCGTTCATCACAACAAGGTGACCGAGAAGATACAAACTGACATACATCAGACTGTCAACATTGCAAGGCACAAACAGAAGATAAGCAAAAGCAATCAATCATGCCAACTACAGATGGAAAAGCAAGTGTGATGGACCCCGAACCAGGGCAAGTCTGGGTGGAATTCATGAAGGATCATGAGCAAGGCGTCGTCAAGTCCAAGGATGAAAAGGACTCTGGATTGGATGTCGAAATCAAAAAGGGACACAAAGACCGAATCTATCTTTCCAAGGTGGAACCTCCCGCTTCCGAACGACTGCACGTGGGTGATCGATTGGTAGCACTCAATGGCAAGTCAGTAGAATCCTTCGGTGGGGATTTGGACGAGATTCGAGAAGTCTTGAACCATTCCAATGTTATTGAAATGATAGTGGATCCAACACTAAAGAGGTAGTTGTTGCACCTTGAGATGGGTTGGGAGCCTGTTCTACTATATTTTAATTGATAAAGTGCTGTATCAGGTGAAAGCAGAATACTTTATATGAGATTTAATGTTCAGAATGTCCAGTTTGCCTGTAAAAAATATTTCGACATGACATGCCCTATATTCTATTCCCACTTTCATGAATCAAGGTGTCCTCAAATCACGCGAAGTAGATGTAGAAACGTAGTTGTGATGAAGCAAGGTTAGGGACATGTCACCTCAGCTTGAGATTTGCAAGTGCAAATGGCGTCAGCGCCATTTTCGTTCACAGAAGATGGACAAAGGTGCAGAGTAGTACCCACACTGGAAATGAATAGAAAATCAAAGTGCCTAGATGACGTGAATGATGGATCGACTCGAGACATTCAGTCAGCTTGGGTCATAATGAACGACAACAGGGAGGTAGACAGAAATGAAGGTTAAAGTATGATCGATTCTATATATTTATGCATATATTTGTTTGCAGTGTAGCGAGATAAGTGTCCCGTTTGGCACGGTCGACAAGGTTGGCCTACAGCCAAGTGTAGCAGTATAGGGCGGTCCCCGTCTTATCGGCGTGTAGAAAGCTTGTGGCTCATTTTGGTATCGGAACTAGAAGACTTTTTAGATCCTTTTCCTCCCTTTCCTTTCCCAGAAGTAGCAGAATCGTCACCCTTGGAGCCACCTTTACCACTCTTTTTCGAAGACATGCCACCCTTGGACGAGGAGCTTCCTCCTTTTCCACTCGTTCCCTTGGCAGAATCACCAGATGTGGAGGATCCTTTCCCTCCTTTTTTGCTCGATGACATGGGACTGTCACTACTTCCACCTTTACCGCCCTTTCCTTTCTTGCTACTCTTTGAAGACGATCTGCTGCTGCTGCTGCTGCTGCTCTTCTTACTGCCTTTGCCGCCCTTGCCATTGCTCTTTTTAGTACCCTTTGACGATCCAAGCTCGTCATCAGTGCCGTCTCCCTTTGTAGAAGGAAGCTCATCATCAGTACCATCTCCTTTGGAGGAAGGAAGCTCATCATCGTTATCAGGAGGTCTTGGACCAACAGCAAGCTTACGAGTTGCTCCGAATTCGCTCACAAACTCGGCGGGGAGATGCCGGGCTCCTTGTTGTAGGTATTCTGCATTATTTTGTCCCACAGCAACAAGGGTGGAACACGCAAAGAAGAGTAGGAATGCAAGATTTTTAGAAGATGTCATCGTTTCGGCTTGTGTTAAATGTTTTGTTTTGTGTCGAGCTTGTTTGGATCAATGGCAACAGGTTTCCTTTCAAAACGGGATAGGAATTTTGTGAGACCGGATCGTTTTGTGGCGAGTTTTGGTGCTGGTTGCGTCTGTTGGAATTCGAACAGAAATAACACGACGAAAAAGGATGGGTTGCATTCTAAATCGCGTGAATCGTGGACGAAAACAACGGTCTAATCTATACTCTTGGTCTAATCGTGCAAATCACGTCGAAAGGATTCCATCGGATCAAAACGCCAGAAATACAATGAGAAAAAAAATGGTAACGGATCGAAAATATTGCGCAGACCCGAAGCCCAGGTTCCACCATGAGAATCATCAAAGGTTGTATGTTTCAATCGGAACCCAAGGCAAGATTCAATCCGTGTGAGTCAGTCTTCAGAGCATCGCAGTTCACAGTGAATGAATGATGTTTTGAAGGACTGCATTCTGCATGAACAAACCATGGCATTCTGCAGAGAACGATGATGACAGAATGCTGTCCCAACTTTAAAAATTATGAAGCTCTAACAAATGCAATAGTGATAATAGCAACACAAAAAAGCTGATAATTAATTTCACAGTTATATTATACAATAGATGCGTTCTACTTTTGGTATCTGAAGTGGAAGGCGTGCTTCTGCAAGAACGACGGCAGTTGTGTTTTGATGTACTGATACAATCCTTACATCATTTGTTGCTCAGCTTGTCGAGTTGCTTACAACGAATGGTTTGGTGACATTGAGCATGAAAAAGCAAACACGTATAGCAATTTACATGCTCATGGAGCCAAAGACCATGTCTTGGAAGTCATCAATGACATGGGTCTTCTTGGATGACTTGCTTCCACCCTTTCCAGAAGATCCTTTGCCCATCTTCTTGGATCCCTTTCCTCCTTTTCCTGAGGACTCCGAAGATCCCTTTCCTCCCTTACCGGAGCTAGAAGATCCACCCTTTCCTTTGCCACTGGACATGTCGGAAGACCCCTTGGAGCCACCCTTGCCGCCCTTTCCGGATTCCATCGATCCCTTGGAGCCTCCCTTGCCGCCCTTTCCGGAATCCATCGATCCCTTGGAGCCTCCCTTTCCTCCCTTTCCGGAATCCATCGATCCCTTGGAGCCTCCCTTTCCTCCCTTTCCAGAATCCATTGAACCCTTGGATCCACCCTTGCCGCCCTTTCCGGATTCCATCGATCCCTTAGAGCCTCCCTTGCCGGAAGACATTCCTTTACCACCCTTTCCTGAGTCCATCGAACCCTTTCCAGACTTCCCAGACGATCCTCCCTTTCCGGAAGACATGCCTTTGCCAGATTTGCCTGAGGAGCTGCTTCCGCCCTTTCCGCCCTTTCCTCCTTTTCCTTTTCCACTCACAGGATGGTCTTCCATGGGAGTATCAGGTGTAACAGGTCGGTCACCGACGTTGAGAAGACGGTAATGTCTTCGCTCCTCAACGTTGGCATCGGCACGAAGGTTTCGTGCTGGTTGGTTTTCCGCCACAACGAATGAGGTGCATGCTAGGAGCATAAGGAAAGCGATAGTTCTGGTGGTCATCATGATTGCTGATTTGATAAGTTGTTGTTTTTGCTTGATGGTTTGAATTGTGAGAGTTGGAAATGACGATGAGAGTTTTGATTTGAAAAATGCCGATTTTATTTTGTGGCGAGCACGACACGTGCAGAGTCGGTCGGCGCGCCAACAGAAGCACAACGCCAAAAAACAAAAAATGACCTTAAATGAGCTATTTATGGTCGACAATGACGGCTCTTTCTGATCTTGTAACCAGTCCTGAAATGCACGTAATCAATGGCTCATTGCGATTCAGTTGTGTCGTGTTGTGGCTTCAACGGAATACACAGGACTATGTAAAATGGCGGTGTTGTCCGCTCGATACGATCTTTGAAATCAGTCACGAAATGCGATTCTGTTGTTTCGTGTTGTATCATGAACGGTGTTCTTTTGGCCAAAAATAAAAACCGTGATAAAACTTCAACTCCGTTTACGATTGAAATTGCACCCAGCCAGATGTCAAGCCTGATCGATGACGCGCTACCAGGTACTACTCTAGAGCAGACTACCGGTACCAGGTACGTAGAAGGTTACAGACAGAAAGAAACGCGATGACCATACTCGAAAGTCTATGAGATTGTCTACCGATATATAATAATAAAAGTAATAATTGTTTTTTGAAATTTGTCTGGACTCAGTTCATTCACGGAAGATCTGAATCAATCTCAATCTGAATCAATCATTGACATGACGTCACTGCCGCTCAATGTCAATAATTTGGTACTGCGCATCTCAGACAGAATAAGTGGTACTAATACTATCGGTTGAACATATTCTACTCGTGGTACATTACCGGTAGCCGCAGTGAAGTGCACCATCAAAGATCTACAGAAAATAATGAGAACCGCTTTCTTACTTAGCCTTCTTCCTTCTTCCTTGCGCTCTGGCATTTTCGTCATCTCTAGCACCAACGGGAAAAGCAACAAGTGCTCTTCATTCTTTGGCATCGGAGGATGAGGCTTCTTCATTTTCTCCATTCAAGCTGGAGTTGCCTCTGCCACGACTCTTGCAGGTCTATTTGTAATGCCACAACTGGGAATTGCTGAAGAAGAAACCAGAGCCGCATCCATTAAAAATGTCGTTGTTGCTGGAGCAACTGGACAAACCGGAAGCCGAGTTTTCGAACGCTTGGTTGCGCAAAACTTCGTCACTACAGGAGGTGTTCGAAATGTTGCAAAGGCCAGCAAGTCCCTGCAAGGAAACCTGAAACAATTAGACGTCGTTGAGGACTCTATTGATAGCCTGACCGAAACCCTCAAGGGAGCTGATGGTAAGATGAACTTTTTGCAGTGAATAGTCTGTGTTGAAGACTTGTATTTGACTCTTGATCTATCAAATCCTTATTTTAGGGCTCATTATCGCATGTGGCATGAATCCAGGCAAGAACCTTCTAAGAATGTCTGCTGCCGCACATGAAGTTGATAATCTTGGAACCTGCAAGCTAATCTCCGCCGCCAAGAATGCCGGAATCAAAAAGGTTGCCATGGTTTCCTCCATTTTAACAGATGGCAGGGCGTGGGGACAAGAAAACTCCCCTAGGTTTGTTGCTACCAATGCCTTTGGTGGAGCACTCGACGAAAAGCTTGTCTCCGAAAAGTTTCTCCGAGCCAGTGGATTGGACTATACAATTGTTAGACCAGGAGGATTGAAGGCGAAGACCCCAACAGGAGAATTGTTCATCAATTCTGAGAACACACTCAATAGTGGAGAAATTTCGAGAGACTTGGTCGCTGATGTTAGCATTGCTTGTTTGAACGACCCAAAATCCTCTAACAAGGTTCTTGAAATTTTCGAAGATGAAGGAAAGCCAGCCAAGGTATTCAATGGGCTGGTTATGTAATTGATCTATATTTCGCGATTATCACCTAGCTATCGGGATTCCGGAGTTAGTCCAAACTCTTCACTCTCTCCTCTCCAGTTTTAAAGTATCCGTTTGTTACCTGTCCTATTCCTCCATCAGAGCTCTGGCCAAGTGTTTGCTGGTTTGATGCATGGGCAATCCCATCACAGTAAAGAAGTCTCCTGTGATGCTTTGCACCATTTGGCCGCCAATACCTTGTATCCCGTAACTGCCTGCCTTGTCCATCGGTTCCCCAGAGGCAACATACGCATCAATGTCAGCATCGCTCAAGTTGCAAAAGGTAACATGAGCGCTCTCCGTGAACGAAGACAACAGGGAAATTTCACAGCTGGAAGAAAGCCGATAGAGTGCGACTCCAGTGTGGACTTGGTGCTTCAGGGGGTAAAATGAGCCTATGCACTCTGTTTCCTTGCAATGTATCAAAGCAATGACAACAAGAACTGACCTCTTGACCACTCAATTTGAGCAGCATTTGCTTGGCTTCTTCTTCATTCTTTGGTTTTTCCAAAATCTTGTCATCAATATCAACAACAGTGTCACTCCCCAAGTAAAAGACTGGAATATTTGTGTTTCGCTCTTTTCCTGCATGTTCGGCGGCCAAAGAATGCGCCTTGGCCTCTGCTAGCTTTTTCGTGTAAATGGTCGGATGCAAATCTTGTTGTACCAGCTCTTTTTGCAAAGAAGATTCGTCCAGTGGGGGTGGTTCACACGAATATGATCCAGCCAAGCCCATCATATCAAGGATCTCACTAAGGCGATACCAAAGGTTACATATATTCAGCTACAACATAACGGACTTAACCTTCCTGGTCCTCAGTCTATCAGGTTGACTTACCGTCGCCTTGGCGATTGACTTGCCAATACTAAGCATGCTTTCTTTCCTTCTTTGATAGCATTATTCTCAGCACAGAGCTTGTCACGTAACGAAATCAGAAGCGGAGAAGATTCTGCCGATAGACGAGCTTTCAGTTCGGTGGATGATAATGTCATCGCAATGGACGAGTAACGGTTGTGTCTGACAAATCTTCCTGGATTGAAAGTGAATGCTAAGCTCTGAATCAATAAGGTTGTTACAAGAACTGCAAAGTAACAATCATCTACTTTCATGACCGAACGCTTCAGTTCCAGTGTCAGGAGATGTGATACAGTTTTTAGTATTTTTATTGTGTATCGATCGTTGGTCTATTGGAGAAAGGGAAGAATGGGGAACGGATGGTGTGAAGTGGGATGGTGTGGCGGACAGTAGTCCAACCCACCACGTCGAAAACACACGAAAGGCCGAGTTTTGAAGTTTGAAGTTGTGATTATAATACAACAACTTCGAAAACACGAAAGACTTATTATCAAACACACCAAGTTATCTTCGACAATTTCCTCATCGATTATGGGCAACGAAGCATCCGCATCCACCTCGAACTCTGCATATCCCTTTTCTTCCACTCACAATGAATACAATGCTGATACGGATACGGATACGGATAAGATCGCTTTCACTGGAGACAGAAAAAATCAACAATCTCGCTCCGAGGAGATATCATCATTGATTCATTTTGCAGAGTCCAACTATGAAAGTAGACCAAATGAATCACTATCCGCGTTGATGGAAGCGATGACACTCAACAGTGGTCCAGCCAGGGCCACTCATGCCATGAAATGTATCAAGGTTGAACTGGAACGACCGGAAAATTTAGGCAATGCCATCCACACTGATTTATTCACGAAGCAACACTCATCAAATGATCACAGAGTATCAGTCCAAAGCATGGAACCGGATAAGCACCAACGTATTGCCCAAATTGTACAAAACCTCCTGGCCGATCGATCGACTTATTTGTATCAAATGGGACATCAGAATATTTTACAGCAGGCGATGGAAGATGGCAGCTCGGTTGTATGTCGCCATTGCAATGGTATGATCCCCGCCAAGCGTTGGTATCAGCATCAGCAGTACTGGTGCCAAGTAACTGCGAATAATTTGCACACGGAAATTGGCGAGAGCGACGATGATGTCATGTGCTGTAATGATGAATGACAAGTGACAAGCTACTATAGACCCAGTCAAATAATGTCACAGCATTTCAAAGAACTAATGCTACCTGTTGACACTGTTGGCCCGCTGATCGCAACGTGTTGGTTCACACATTGGGCAAGCGAATCACTCAACTTCATCGCTTTGCGCTGGAGTTAGTATCTTTCTTGAAGCACTGCTGGGTTGTGGCAGTGCATCTAGTTGAAAAAACAAGGCAGCATTTTTCGTTTCGATTTGCTACGATCATTCGTCACCTTGGACCCATGTCGAATCACGTGAAACGGGCGACAATCCGAAGGGCCACCATTCTGAATTGATCATGAATTGATCATGAATTGGGAACAAACCGTTGCGAGACCTTGACGAGGCACTTCAATCCAACCACACTAACCTTGCAATCACCTTTGTGTGCGCTTTGCACTCATTTAGCACACGTTTGCATCGTGTGCTATCGATCCGACCATCACTTCGTCGAATGGATTGGTCTGTGTGCCTTTCTTCAGGGTTTTCGGAGAGCAATGATGGGATCGGCATCGGCAAATAATGTGCAAATTGGTCATCATTATTGTCCCAAGGTCAATGAACCCGGAATGAACCGGGAAGTGGACCTTTAAAGAAGCGAACCTACTAGGAAGAATCTTTTGTAGGATTCAGAAGAACTACTTCCACAAGAAGGCGAAGTAGATAAAAATGAATCTTTAGGGTGTGCTTCCTGTACCATGATTTATCATTTGTTTGGTATTGATTGAGCACTCCAAGCAGCGGTCGATAGTAGACATGAGATTGTGTGCGTGGAATGTTATTTTTCTGATGTGAAGTTCGACTCCACGTGAACCTGTGTGCATGTTTCATTGATGATTCATCTTGCTTGAAACGAAACGAAACGAAACAGGTGAAAGATACTGCACATTACCGGGTCGCAGGTGTACTCGTCCGTCCGTCGCTCGGGGATATTATCGTAGTGGGCTACTACCGGTATTTACTTGGGAACGAAAGATATTCATGCGCGCATTGTAAATATTTTTAGCTCTATATTTCCCATAGTACTGTTCATCAGTTATTTTTTATATAAAAGTATACGTCGACGTCTCAACCAGTCCGGCAAATTCGAAATGCCATCGCGCCTCTTCCCTCTAAATCATCATTGGTCCCTCATATTGTAAAGTTCAATTCGTCAACACAGCATTCCATCGCATCACAAAAACAATGCCCACTTTTGTAGATGCTCTTTTAGATGTCGAGACTGGCGAAATTGCTTCGTACTACCGGTAGTATTGTATAAAATAGGTACATACATATATTTTATAGTCTTTCCTCCGACTTCTTCGACCAACAAACTTTTTTGTCCGTTGAATATGATACGCGCGAGCCAAGATCGACTACAATAAGATTGCATGTTGAGTGTTGAGATTCCACTCGCACGACAGCTCTTATTATTTTATTTTATTTTATTCAGCCCGCAGTCTTCCAACAAAAACACAATATGAGGCTGAATCAAAACCATAGACAAAGAAAGCAAGAGCCTTTTGCAGGATTGTTTCGACTCGTAATATTATTTTCCGTCATTCTTTTCTTCTACGCATCCAACAATTCCATGTTTCAAATAAGCACTGCAACGCTATGGAACGATAATGCAACGATGTCTAGAAATCTTTGTGAGACGGTGGTAGAGACACCTATCCCTTCCGCTGCGACTGGTCAACCGATGTCGCAAAGTGGTTTCAGTCTTGCCCAAAGACAAAGTTTTGGATACTTTGACGACATCTCGGACGAACACTGGAAACGAGCTCAACAGATTCACGCCAAAATGTTTCCCAACCATTCACCTCGACTGGGCCAGTATTCCAATGCATTAGTCGTCAAAGACAAGATGGCAGAACTCAAAATGTCTAGCTTTTGGTATGCACAAAACTTTCACGAAGAATTCCATTGTCCTCTTGCCCAACGAATTCCAACGGATGGTGAGGGCGATGGACCGAAATGGGTCTGTGATCCCCACCGATTGAAAGACAAGAAAGATTGCTTAGTCTACTCAATTGGGTCCAATGGAAAAGCTGAATTTGAAACTGGAGTGAGAGATGAAATCGGAAATCACTGTGAGATCCACACCTTTGACGTCGGCAGTTACAACAAGCGCAATGGGAACTTTGCCGAAGCGCTAAAGGGAATCGCAACCTTCCACCATTGGGGATTTGGTACTAAAGAAGAGGCCCAAAAGCAACCAAGAAGATTTAAAACCCTACAGCAAACAATGAAGGAGCTGGGTCATGCAAATCGAACCATCGACCTATTCAAAATCGATTGCGAGTGGTGCGAATGGTTCACATACGAACAGTGGCTGAACCAGGACATTCGACAGATATTGGTCGAAACGCACAACGCTCCGATGCCAAATGTACAGGACTTTTTCTACAAATTGCACGATGCAGGCTTTGTTATCTTCAACAAGGAAGCGAACTATCAAAATGGCGGAGGAGGCGTCGAATATGGCTTCCTGAAGCTTTCCACTGACTTTTTTGTAGACGGAAGTGTCTACGATGCCACAGCAATGAAGTAGGCACAACACACTGTATACCGGTATGCATACGGAGCTTCCTTCGGAGTGATACCATTCAACGTCTATGCACTCTTTGCTCTTGGATCCGAAACGGTGGATGTTCTACCGCAGTATTCACGTACTGTAGGTTGACGAGTGCGACACAAGAAGACGGGGCTTCCTCATGGCGCTTCACATACAGTACTGCAAATGTAAGGATCGGTTTGTGAATGAACCAAAAAAGAATTGGATGCAGAAGCCATCTAGAATACTTGCTGTCGCATATTGACGAAAAAGGAGGAGGACTGGGAAAGGGCTGACGATTGACGATGAAGCCTCCACCGCGCTTTTACAATGGATGTACTCTGATTTCTGCCGTATGTCTAAGCGAATCCGGCGATAAGTCGGCGTGAGCAACCACTCTGCTCCTCCTTTTATCGAGGAACTCCTCGCGGCAGGGAGCACCACTTTGAACAGAATGCTGCCGCTTCGCTTCCTTCCTTTCAACGGTATTAACACCATTGGTGGTTGGCAATCGCGCACATCATCATTTCTTTTCATCACCTGCAACTCCTGGTCAATTGTGCGTCCATTTACCCTGGCAACTGCAGCTTAATGTTGGGACCCTTCGCACCATACCGGCACTGGAACGTTGGCTACAGTACTTGCGACAAATTGGCACCCTCTTCGAAATGACAATACAACCACAATCGCCGACCCAATGCTTTGTGATGGACGGTTATCAATGATCGCTCGATTTGCCTTGCTGCTTGGATCAACGTTTGTAATCATCTATCATCGTGAATACATTGCTTGTCTGGCGCCTATATCGAATCAAACCAGAAAAGTATATTCTAATCGCACAAAAAATAGGGCGGTTGGTGCCAAACCAATTATGTATTGCACATCATCAAAGTATCCCTGTCGTATGCTGTAGCGAATGAGGCCACGGTCGCAGTCGGTTGGTGGAGTTCCTTTATATTGCAGTTGGTTGAGGTCGGAACAGCGAATTAGTCGCCCTGCTCCTGCAGTACAGTCCGTTGATCTCACGATAAGAACCCCATACCATATCAACAACGGAGGTGCTGTTGGATTCCCTCGTATCGGGTTGTTTTTGTTGTTGTTGTTGTTGTTGCTGCTGCTTTTGTTCAGATGGTGATTCTGGTGATTCTGCGTCAAAGTTGTCATCCTTGCCGGATTTGGCGGATTCTGATTCTTTATGATGGGTTGGGTGCGAGGGTGTTAGATATCATTCGGTTGTAATACGACAGGTCGTTTTTCAATTTTAAAAGAGGACCATTTTTGGATGGTACGACCTCGGTATGCATATCGTAGAAAATTGGCCGAAATTTTGTGGAACAATGAATTTCTTGCATTTCTTGCGGTATACAGTGACCATGGATCCAAACGCATATATAACAACAACTTTGGTAGTAGTTCAGGACTACGAGATGTTTCGCGTAAAAACTTTTTCACTAGATATTTTCCCAAGTATTTCCCAACGCATCGCTCCTCTTGATTTCTGTGGCAACGTTGTATGTAGAAGACTTGTCAACAGCATTGATATGTTTCAACAACGTAATGTTGATGTCAGAAGTGATGTGGTGGGAATTGGAGCTTCCAAGAGGGAGATCAGATATGGAATAGAAATAGCACGACCAAACCTCGTGATTTGACTTTCGGCTAGGTATACTTCGAGAATTAGTGCAGACGTGAAATAGAAATGTGATTACCCAACTATTCACGTGATTTGTTTTGGGCTGCGTTTATTCATAGAGAAGCGCTCTCGCACCATATATATCCATAATTCGAGAAGGACTCAGATTCTTTTATGCAGAATTTCAAAACATCCCGAAAAAAAAAAAATCGTATCGTGACACTTTTAAAATTTTTACTGTAGTTGTGGACACGATACGACTTTTTTTCCCCCAGCCAATCACAGCCTCCCAAAACTCAAAAAATAGTCGTATCGCGTACTTTAAAAAAGATACCTTTTCTTGAAACAATCATCCATGGAGCTCCTTCACGAATAAAGCACAACCTCGTTGCACCATGGCATCCTGCATGAAGAAAACCAATGCAAAAAGTATGTTTTTGTTGAGGTTACGAAGAACAAATAAAGAAGAGAAGACATAAGCATGATTGTCCACGTACGTACCAGGTGGGCCCCATGGATGTATTGACAAACCCAGTGAATGGGCAACTCGGATCTTCTGGCTGGGGAGGCAAGTATGTTTTTTGATATTCCCTCAGTTTATCGACTAACGATTCCACTATTTCTGGGAATTGAGATGCCACATTGTGCTGTTCGTTCGGATCATTCTCCAAATCAAATAGTAGATAGTTTGATTCATTCTCAAAGCTAGTGTTGTTGTTGTTGTTGTTGTTGACTGATGCCGATTCGCTTTGTCCTCCATCGATACTCCCACCACCAGGAAGGGGCTCGTCACTTCCTTTGGGTTTGAGATTATTTTCGTCTGGGCCTCCGGATGAACCTTGAATCAGCTTCCACTGTTGGGATCGTATCGCTGGCCCATACCACTGCTTTGTCGAGAATGCAGCAAATGCGTATCCAATGTGAACATGATCTCGAATGGGAATATCGTGTTGCCAGCCGCTCAGTTGACCCTTCCCGTCCAACCCGTCTCTTGGTTTGACACCAACAATTTGGGCCAAGGTTGGCAGCCAATCCACGACATGAAAGAGATGTGAATAATGTCGCATCGAATGGACAGGGGTCGAATCGTGACTTTGTCCCTTTGAACTTTCAGCATCACTGAGACTTGTAGTTTTATCACGGTTACTATTGCCCACTTCCCCCTCGTTCTCATCCTCCAGCAGCTTTGTCATGTACGGACCACTCACAAAACCATCTCCAGTTGTTCCCCCTTCCCAAACTGTGCATTTGCCACCTCTCTTTGGATGATTGGATGACCCTTGTACGGCGCATATTTCAGTGGGACCTCCATTATCCGTTGTAAATACAATCAACAGATTATCCCAAATATCTGGATAGTCCTTCTGAAGCACTTTGGTAATGTTGCCAATGCCTTCATCCGCAGCTGTCAACATTCCGGCATAGGTCTTTCGAGTATCCGACCAATCGGCGCGATCGGAATAGCGATCCTTGTAGGGCCAAGGGACTTGATCGGGAGCATGGACTGCCTGAAACGCCAAGTACAAGAAGAGCGGTGGAAGGGTCCCGTTCTTGGATTCTGTTGGGTCAGTCTCGTTGGAAGGATGTCTTTCGTCGTGGTCCTGGAGAGTATGCTTTCTATTTCCATAGTCTTCCACAACTCGAATGGCTTGTTTGGTAAATACATGTGTGGAATACTGTTCTTTTCCAAAGCCCAACTCATCTCTTGTACCTGCATTCTTCTCATCCCTTTGATTGCCGCTCCTGTCGACAATCTTGGAACAGTTTCGCCCACACATTGGTTGCTTGTCATATCTCATATCGTATGCATTTTTGGCACTATGGGTATAGTAATCTTCTCCTCCTCGATAGAATCCAAAAAAGGAGTCAAATCCACGAAAGGTTGGAGTGTATTCCCATTTGGCATGACCCAAATGCCACTTGCCCACCGCGTGTGTTTCGTATCCGTCATCCGCAGCACCACCTTCTTGGTTCTTATTATTCTCTCCACCACCACCACCACTACCACCGCCGCCACCACCACCATCATCAGCTTTGGACCGCTTGAGCATGTTTGGTAAGGTTTCCACATTGTCCAACGGCAATCCCACAGTAGAATAATCTTCAATATAAGAATGAATGCCATGATGCAGAGGATACTTTCCCGAAAGAAGCGATGCCCGTGTTGGACTGCAGCATGGCAAGACGTAGTATTGGTCCAAAAGGATGCTGCTGCTGCTGCTGCTGCTGTTATATCCATCCTTATTGTCGTCTCCCATCACCAAGGAATCAATGTTGGGAGTATGGATTCCGGAACCATGGAATCCCAAATCATTGGACCCCAAATCGTCCACGACAATCATCCAAATGTGAGGTCTTGAGGGCTTCTTCTTATTCTTAGTCTTTGTCTTTGTCTCTGTTATTTTCTTCGTCGTCGTACTCCTAGTCCCAGAGGACTTGATCTTTGGCTGATCATCTTCACGACCACAAGATTCTCCAATGTAAAGAAAGAGAGTGACGATCAGCAGGATGATTCGAGAGTGATGACTCGTTTGTCGTGTTGTTGGTGACGATGATACCTGATGTTGAGGTTTTGACATTGTATTTGCGGGTGGCTATTGATGGTGAAGAATATATTGAATTGAATTGAATTGAATTGCATTGCATTGAATTGCATTGAATGTCGAACAAAACAGAGCCGTTCGATCGATTCACAAGTTGACTGCTCAAAAGTTTATTATTGATGGATATCGAATTTTGGGAATATACGGTGGAGGAACTAAATAAGTGCATATTTTCATTTTGACCTACAGAAGTACCTAGGAGAAAATGTCCGACTATCTACGGACATCAAGGACGACTGACTGTTCGAGTAAAAGCATGGTCGTGCATGCATATATTCATCTGTCATCTACAGTAATACGTATCATCAATGAAACCATGGTGCACGGTGAAGTTATTGCATCCATCATGGATGATTCATTATTGAAAAGACACTCCGACTTTGGAATTGCTTCCTTACGCCATTCCAACTATAGCTAACGAAATGTGAAAGTCGTTTCTTTTACCCATCGTGAGCGTGTTTCCACGATGCAACCTTGCACCCTTGCCATTGCGACATTCGCACTGCAAAAGCTCATAAAACAAAGTGCCAAGCTTTTTGTGTGATATATCTTTATTACAAGGAAACTTATTCTTCACATAACACCAAACACAACCAAACATGAACACCTTTGGAATCAAATCAACATGTCGCAACATTAAGGATGACCTTAAAACCGCGGAACAACGCCGTCAAGGCGGACAACGACAAGCACTTATGGAGCGAAACAGAGCCAAGTTTGACGCTTTGCCTCTGAATGCTGGTCCTTTTGTGTACAACCCTTTTCCAATTGCCAGAAATGTCAGTTCGGAATCTGATTGTCGGGATGCTTGTGCTGGAGACAACATTGAAGCGGAAATGATGGAGACTTACCTTGCCCTCCATCCTTCTTTGGAAATCGCCGCAAGCAGCAAGGTGGATGCTTCTGTGGCCGATCTTCCTAAACGATTCTCCTGTCTTTCTGTTGACTGCAATGCAATGGAAGTTGACCAAGACGAAATGGACATCGATCTACCTGAAATTGTCTGGATGCAAGTCGATATTGATGAAATGGAAGTCGATCTACCTTCAATTGACTGGATGGACGTAGACGGTGACGATATGGATGTCGATGGTCCATATTAGATCTTCGACAATGGGAATGAATACGAACATTCCCACTCTGTGTCGCGATTATTGTCGAGGACTTGTCGAGAGTGGCATCTTGAAAAAAGAGATAATGCCCAAGGCAAGCATGATAGCTGCTGTTGTATCGGTGTTTCGGCGAGTCTCAAACCGAGAAGCGCCCCCGATACTACTATGTAGCAGTTACTCTATGTGGGCAACTTGATTGTTGAATCAATTGAAAGTTGCCCAACCACGAAGTATACACCCCGCATACGGCACAATCCCTTCATTCGGCGGCGTCGGTCAAGAATCATCCACAGAACAAAAAGAGAAACCTTCGATATCCTTTTTTTTCCATTAAAAACAACAAGATTCAATATGCATCCATACAACTTTGATTGGAAAGAGATTCCAAGACAATAAGGAGGAGCTCTCGAGATCTCCCAAATGCATCATTAAAAAAACAACAACAACAACAACAACAACAAATTTGATTGGAAACAAATTCCAATTCAAAGAGGGACGTTCGAGATCCCAAGAACAAGAAAACAACGTGAATGAATGTATGCATCGATGCAACTTTGAATTAAAAAGAAATTCAAAGACAAACTAAAATGAATATGCATCAACCCAACTTCGAATGGGATAATTCGAAGATGAAATGTTATTACAAAATATAATATCAATAGATGCAAAAAATACATCAACACCAGTCATTCCGTTTATATACAATCTATTATAGTATACCCATGGATTATTGTATTCGCTATTTCGATGTAGTGCATGCATACTCGGTGTGGTAGCACTATAGTAAATACGACCGACCTCTTCAACGAACCGCCCATTTGAAATTGTTCCAAGCCATGCTATTGTTTTGTTGAGGTGCGTCCAGTCACCAGTCTGATTTCTTCAGAACAACATTATCATCACGATATCTAGTTTACTCCTTTTGCGCCAGCTTCTTTTCCAGTGTCTCTACCTTTGCTTCCAAAGCTTCGAGTCGCGGCATCAGGGCTGCTAGTGCAGTTTCGGAGTATTTTCCCAACACATCTACTTCCAAATTAACCTTGTCCCCTGGTTGTTTGCCTGGAATGATAATCTTCTTTTGTGTGTACTCTACCAACATGAACGAAAACCATTTTTCTTCCGTGTTGACATCGACCACTGTCAAACTAGTTCCATCAATCGCAATGAATCCCTTTGGCACAATATACCGAAGAATATCAGGATTCTCCACTGTGATCTGATAACACAAACTATCCTCATCAATCCATCGTTCCTTGACGACACCAACTCCATCCACATGCCCTTGTACAAAATGACCCGAGTTTCGACCTCCAATTTCCGAGGCACGTTCCAAGTTCACAGCATCTCCTGCCTTTAGTTCTGAAAAGTAGGTCTTGCGCAAGGTTTCTGGAGCCAACCCGACCTTGAAATGATTGGTATCTGGTTCGAGCTCTGTGGCTGTCAAGCAAACACCACTGACGCAAATACTGCAACTGTAATGACAAGCATGGAATACATTAATAATGGTCTGCTGGAGAATCTTCACTCGTCGCGGTCACTCCTGTCGGTCCTTTTGTTGCTTACCCTAGATAAGCCCCATCCATGACAACGTTGCCTTCTACCACTAGTTCCGTGCCAACTCCAGTACTTCCATCCCAAAGTGGCATATCATCCCGTTCCTCCAAGGACACGACAGTTCCCATTTCTTCCACGATTCCTGTAAACATTTGATGGCGAGTCGCAGGTCGTGATGAAGATGCAGAAGGAAGAAATGCATGGCAGGATGAAGCCAAGATTATAAAAGGTAGTGTCAATAGATTGAAGGGATCCATGATTGTATGGTTTTCGTAATAGTTGATTGAGCTCTTCACTGATGCAGTTATGATATAGCGAGCCGTAATATAGGTGTTTTGGTTGATGTTTCACGGATGTTCTTGTTGGATTCGCAGATGGTTTTGCATGGAAGGTGCGTGTGTAGTCTGTCTGTCCCACAGACAACCTGTGATGACACGCCTCCGACACGAACTCTGACGATTTTGGTAGTCAACACTTATGGACTGGTCGGAATTTTTGGGATATTGCGTTTCTCCACCTAACACTTTAGAATGCCGATTTCCGTTGAAGAAGTTCTTTGGCCATGTCCAAACAAAATCGGCTCACAATATCTACATGATGGACGAGAATGGCGAAGTACGCTACACATTATTCTCAATGTGCCTTTCCTCCAAATTTATTACAAACTTCAAAAGTCGTTGACAAGGTCATTCGGACAGCAGCAAAACAAGCAGGCGAACAACACCAACACCATGGTGATGAACAACAGAATACTCTCCGCATTTCTATTGCTGGCTTCCTCCTCATCCTTGGTGGTGGCTTCTGAATTCCACAAGCCTCAGCAAATGAATATTCCGGCAGATAGCACCAGGCAGCTTTTTGACAAGAAAGAACCTACAGAAGCACTTGAGAGTCACGATATGATGATTCCAGCCGACGACATTGCCGATCTTGCTCCCAGTCATGATGGCATGGTGGAGGACGAACATCCTGATACTGGAACTGCCCCCAGTCTCGACATGACAGAGGTGACAGAAGCGCCCATAGCACATACACCGACTCCACAAGAAACTATTCACCCAGTGGAAACGTCGATGACGTCAAGCAAGGGAAGCCACAGCAAGGGAAGCACCAGTTCAACTAAGGGATCTCATTCTGTCCATAGCTCGAGTGGCAAAGGATCTCACTCTACTAGCTCGAAGGGATCTCATTCTGCCAGCTCAAAGGGGACTCATTCGACCCATAGTTCCAGTGGCAAAGGATCCTCTCATTCTGCCAGCTCAAAGGGATCTCATTCTACCCGTAGCTCGAGTGGCAAAGGATCCTCTCATTCTGCCAGCTCAAAGGGATCTCATTCTACCCATAGTTCCAGTGGCAAAGGATCCTCTCATTCTGCCAGCTCAAAGGGATCTCATTCTACCCATAGCTCGAGTGGCAAAGGATCATCTCATTCTGCCAGCTCAAAGGGATCTCATTCTACCCATAGCTCGAGTGGCAAAGGATCATCTCATTTTGCCAGCTCAAAGGGATCTCATTCGAGCTCAAGTGGAAAGGGATCTTACATGAGCAAGAGCTCCGAAACGACTTCTTCCTCCAGCAGTCGTGACATGGAACACATGAAGGTCAGCAAAAGAATGTCTCATCATGGTCACCACCCTCATGAAGAAGAAGCCGATGAAATGAGACATCACCACGATGGACACACCATCAAGTCGAGTCGGGTGCATCACCACAATGGACACATTGTCCACCATCACAATGGTCACATTGTCGAAGCTCCAGTCCACCATCACAATGGTCACGTTGTCGAAGCTCCATACTCCAAGTCTTACAGAAATCACTACCCTGTTTCTAGTTACACGAGCATCAAGTCAACCGGTACAGGTCACTATTCCAGCAGCAGCAGCAGCAGCAAGTCGAGCAAAAAATCTTCCAAGCGAGACCATTACAAGCACTACGTTGTGGAGGAAGAAGAATCATCCAGCGAAGAAACCATGCCTTCGGAGGAGTTTGGTGTCACCATGCACCCTACCGAGACTTCCGTCATCTCGGAAGACCTACCCAGCATGGATGACATGAGTTTTTCCATGGACATGATGATGGGCGGAAGATGGTAGACATTAGAGAACTGAAAGATCTATTGATTGATTGATTGATTGATTCAGTTGTAAATAAAATAGAGTGTACAATTTAAAAAAAAAATGAATTTCAAAAGTAGATTCGTTGTTTGTCAGCTCCTTTACTATAAAGGGTATACCGGTACTTGGTACTCCATCACTCGATCTCTCCCTCCAATGCATGTCGTAAGAGACACACCTCTATCAGTACGTCGATATATTACACGTAGGAATCTACCAAATTTCCGAACTGCAAATAAAAGTCACAATAACTGAAAACCAATCATCATCGCCTAATATTTTTATTTCCTTCAATAACCACAGAAGACGAGGTCAACCATCACCAAGGGACTTCCTTCTGAACCTTTCCACTGCATCACCGCCAATCTATAAACGCTAATAGACCAAAAACTGCAGGCAGAACAATCATAACGAGTCAGATAGACGAGAAAATAATGACAACGTCGACCCTATACTTCACAGCTTCCATATTGAAGAAATCCAAATATATTGCCAAATTGGGGCTGACATTGCAACAACAACCGCACAACGATGCTGTCACGATCAAGGATCTTTCCCCTTCCTTCAAGAAGAAAACGGCTCTTGTACCTGGTTTGCGAGTCTTGGAAATCAATCACACAAAGATAACTTCTCTGTCAGAAGCCAATCGATTATTGGCGGAGACCCCCGTCAATTTTGAGGTTACGTTGACAGTACAAGCACAGATTGTTTCAGCAACCAAGGCCTCAACAACGAAAAAAGGACTTACCTTGGGAAGATCGCCTCCTCGAGGTGAGAATCAGGAACAGAACGGAGAAGCATCATCCAAAATTGGCATTTCCTTATTCCAAGATCCTGAGAGCGCTCAGATTTCGATCACCCATGTGGCACCAGACAGTCTCTTTCCCACTCTCAGAGCCAATACAATATTACATGCCATTAATGGGATATTGGTGAGCTCCATCAGCTTTGCCAAGGTAAAAGACATTATGAAACAGTGCAAGATACTGACGTTGGTAGTACTGGACAATGATAGTGTGGAAGAAGTAGGTTCTCCAAGCCAGCCACAAACTCAAAAATCCGAGGCTCTTCATCAACAAAATGGCTCTGTCGGTAAGGTTGAAAATGCACCCAATGATGGCGGCGTAGAGATGGACAATGGTAATGCGGTTGGTGACCACCAACCAAATACTTCTGAGAACAGCAACGAGAGCATTCGAGTTGTGGCTTGCATCATTCGTCCATCAAAGAATGTTCCTCTCGGTTTGAAACTAGAGGAACAAGACGAGGAAGTCATAGTCAGTGGTGAAGCAGAAGAAGTCGAGAAACCAGATGGTGGAAATGGGAATGGTGTCCACAAGAACAAAACTGATGTAGTCAAGAAACGACAAAAGCTTGTGGTCACGTCAGTAGAGCAAAATGGGCTCTTTGCCAATACTGGATTGCAGTCGAATATGGAATTGGTCAAGATTAATGGACACGTATGGAGCAACATTCGAAAGCACAAATTGGACAAGGCCATGAAACTCCTACAGCAGGCTACCGGAAGAATTTCCCTGGAGGCTGTTACCACGCCACTAGACAATTCATCCAAGACAGACACAATAGGAGAGCGACAAATATTTAGCATTGAAAAGGCAAACAGAAGTTTTGCATTGGGGTTGCAATTGACTAAACTGTCGAATTCTCAAAAAGTAGAAATCACAGAAGCCTCAGCAGTCTTTGAGAATGTCTTAGGACTGAAAACGGGTCTTCTTCTTTCCAAAGTAAACAATATCATTGTGACGAGTGCACACCAGGCGCAAGCTCTCATGGCCGATGCCTACCCCATACTATCATTGGAATGTGAAGCCCCGCCTCCACCTGATAAGCAGTCACTGTTGCAGGAAGAGTATTTACTGGCAAAACATGCCTTGCCAGTAACCGTAACGGAAGAAAACAAGGACACTGCCAAAATTGTCCGAACCAATGTTTGCGAACTACCCGCCGATACCAAACTGCAAAAGATGTGGACTGTGGCCAAGCATCCAGAGCTGAATGGAATTGTCATTTGCGATATTCCCAAGAGTTCGCCCTTCTATGAGTATTTTGCAGTTGGCCAAGTGGTTGTCTCGATCAATCATAACACTTGTCCGCAAACATCGGCAGGAACCTACAAGCTATTGCAAAAGGAAATGGCAAGGGCAGCCGCTATGGCTGCTGATCCAAAGCTGAAAGCGGCAGCGGATCCGACCAAAGCCAATACAGTAGTAAGGGTGGAAGCCGGCGACGTCCAGCACGAACATGTTCCAACGACTGAAGATGAGGAAGAAATGCACCAAGCGGTTCAGTTGGCGATTGCGAGGGCCGAGAATGAACTATTGGACCGCAAGGACAATAGGAAAGAAGAAAGTTCGGATCCTCCAGAATTAGTCAGTGAAAGTGAATTGGAGAAACCAAAAGATATGTTTTCCTTGCCCGACGACGTGCCTGAACACCCAGTCATCCGAGTAGATTTTGACGAAGGAGTTCAATTGCCAAAGACGCCAAAGAACTTGGCAGTCCCAGCCCAAACATTACAATGGACTCGAAGCAAACCAGGCAACAACGGAGGTGTCCCGGCCGAAATTGGATTATTTGAATCGTCGCCTTCACCGCTTAAAATGGGTACGCCTAAAAGAAATAATGGTTTTGTTCCGACGGACAGTGACAGTGAAAAGGCTCAAGCCAAGTGTACCATTCCAAAAGATGATACCGATGATCACAACGAGAATGGTGATGTGACGCGGCGTATCCTTTTCAATGCTGAAAACCCAGCCTCTGCTCCAGCTGTTGATCTTATTCAGACGGCTACGGATAAGATTGCTTCTGTACCTTCGGCTCGCGAGCAGGAGTTGGAAGAGCAGATTCAGAAGATCCAGTCAGAATTGAAATCGGCACAGAGTGCATTGAAATCGGCCGAAGGGCAGCAAGAAAAGGCCAAAGGAGAACTCACAGGAGAGATCTCGGCGTTACGGCAACAGTTGGAAGACGCAAATGAAGCTCGACAAGTTGCGGAAGATGGAATAAGGCAAATCGGCATGGAAATTGATCATGAACTCAAGATAGCAACAGAAGCCAAGATAAACGAAGAGAAGCAACGGCTGGGGTTGAAGAAAATGCTAGAGGAGCTGCAAGAAGAATCAATGAAGAGTAAAGCCAATGCATCAGCAGTAGGCGACAATTTGCGCAGTATGGTACTGGAGGTTCAGAATTCTTGTGCCAATGCAAAGGATGAACTCCTTCGAATCAAGTCTGCCAAGGAAGCAGAACTCAAGACAGCTGTCGAAGAAAAGGAAAAAGCAGAGCAGCAAGTTCGTCGTTTGAAGGCCCGGCTATTGGAGGCTCAAAGCGACCATGATGCGTCATTGAGATCGAAGCAAGCCGAAATTGAAGAGAAATCCGCGGCGATAACGAATCTACGAAGTGAGATATCTAGTTTGAAGCGCCAATTACAACAAGCCGAAGCGGCAAAAGACGAAGCGAAGGGGGATCTGGAAAAAGCAAAGGCCGATCACGAAAATGAGATTCTCGGCCTGAAAGTGCAAATCGATTTGGTTCGAGAGGAAGAAGAAACCAAGGCCGATGAGAGGGAAGCGCAGACAAGAGCCGAAGCCGATGATGCCGTGGGTTCCATGCTCGAAATGCAACGACATGACAAAGAAGAAATTGTGAACCTCCGCAATCTGATCGAAGACGCCCAGATTGCTCTTCACAACAAAGAACAGGAGTTGGAAAAGTTGCACAAAGACTTTTCTATCGTGCGCTCGCAAGAAGCCAATCAAGCAAAGGCCGCCCAAGAAGCGTTGGAAAACGAATTGGGGGTGCATCGGGAACAAGTTGCGTCACTCCAAGCTTCATTGGTTGCAGCTGAAAAGGTCCGACAAATGTCCAAGAGCGAAGTGAAAGCTGTCAAGTCGGATGGTCATGTGAAACTCCAAACCGAAACGGAAGCACGTCGTCGGGCTGAAAAGGAAATTGTTCGTCTGGAGGCAGAAGTGGACAATGCGTTGCAGAAAGAGCAAGAAACGAAAAAGAAACTCGAAGACTTGAAGAAGGAATTTGAAACGTCAACCGGCGCAATTGAAGCAAGAGAGCGGAAAAATAGATCCATGGCGGAAGAAGCCCGAGAGAAGGCAGAGATTATTGTTGCTGACATTGAAGTAGCCGAAGAACGCAGGATAAAGGCAGAGGCAGAAGTCGTCAAGACCAGACGAACTTGGTCGTTGATATCACTGTTTTTCTTTGTCATTGCCATTCTGAGCGCAAGGAGCAATCACCAAGGTGGAAGCATACCAGAGATTCTTGATCTCGATCTGAGCACTGACGATTTGAGAACACTGGTTCGAAAGGAGGCGGAACAAAAGCTGGAACTTGAAAAGGCTGTCAAGGAAGCAATCCAAGATCGGGACGCATTACTCGAAGCAAAGGAAGCCGCAGAGGAAAAGGCCGACGAGGCAATGAAAGAAGCTACTAGGAAGGAGACTTTGTTACAACAAGCTATATCACAAAACAAGGGGGTTAAGACAAGCGGGGATGGCAAGTCTCCTTCCGAAGAACACGAATTGCAGAATGGGGAAAGCACCAAAGCACAAATTGTTGCCCAACGGCGGGCCGCACCAATAGAAATATACTTTGAATAAGCTGAATGAGCGTTTTAGACAACTTTTCTACTTTGCTCCGTTTGGACTTCAATTTATTTTTGTGGCATTGGTAGCAGCTTTAGGTACAGTAGTAGTATTAGCTCCGATATTGTCAAATGGACTCATCGGACCCCAATTTCCTACTTTTCCCGCCGTTTCTGGTCGTCGCTATGTGATGCGTGTCTACTTTTCCCGCCGTTTCTGTGATGCTGATGTGTGCATAAAAATACTGACTCACTCACTCACCCATCAACTGACTCACCTACAGTATGAATCGACGATGACGTTCAGATGCATTCATAAAACCAAAAAGTGAAAGTAATTACAATCTACATCATCATCATGAAGCTTTCTGCCACCCTAATTCTTGCCTCAATGGCCGTTGGTACCCAGGCCTTTGTGCAGCCATCGTCCAGCTTCTCTACCACTTCTGCCCTTCGCATGTCCGAAGAGCCAGGTGCTCCCGCTGAAGAAGAGATCGCTGCTGCCGTCGTGGAAGAAACCCCAGCCGCTTCTTCTTTCGCCACTGAACCCCTGCTTCCTACCATGTCCAAGGCCATTCCATACTTGCAGCGTCCCGCTGCCTTGGATGGATCTTTGGCCGGTGATGTCGGCTTTGATCCCATTGGATTTTCCAAGACCAAGGCGGACTTGATGAACTACCGTGAAGCCGAGATCAAGCATGCTCGTTTGGCCATGTTGGCTGCCGCTGGATGGCCACTATCGGAACTCTTCGATGCCAAGATCGCTTCCACCTTGGGATTGAGCCCTGTCGTCGATGCCACTGACCGTGCTCCTTCGATCCTCAACGGAGGATTGGGCAAGATTTCTCCCATCTACTGGTTGGTTTGCATCATCGGTGCCGGTGCCATCGATCTTGCAGGAATTGCTGCCAAGAACAAGTCCAAGGGAGATTGGCTTCCAGGTGACTATGGATTTGATCCTCTTGGCTTGTATCCTAAGGATGCCGCTGGTCAAGAACGAATGCAATTGACCGAAATCAAGAATGGCCGATTGGCAATGATTGCTATTACTGCCTTTGCCGTTCAAGAGGCTGTCTCTCACGTCGGTGTTGTCGACGAGACTCCTTTCTTCTTCCAGCCACCATTCTAAATTCTGTGCTGCCTAGTGGTCGAAATTCTTCAATAGAGAGTCTGTCTTCAATGATTTTTTTAAGATATCGAGATAAATATCATAAGAACTGTATTATTAATACCAACACCGAATCCAAAGATGGCGATGTCTAATAGCTGGTAGTAGAACACCTGCTAAACATGACAATACTGCGGTATGAAGCCAGAGGAAGATTTATATTGTTTTTCCACACCGGAATTTAGCAAACAGCAATCAACACTACGTAAAGGGAGAACATTTTTCTTGTTGTAGTCCGATCATGTTCGTTTTTAGCCTTTTGCCTCTCCACTTCCCTTCCTGCCTCACGTTTTATTTGCAAGAGATCGTCGGACACTTTTCAAACGAACCATTTGGATCGAAGGAGTCCGAAAAAAGGCGTGTAAGGCCTAACTTTTGAACATCATGATGGTGATGATGATGACACAACACACAACCATTGTCATCATCATCGTCATCTCTACTACGAAGTAAAGAGACACGGCAGAAACGAGACCCGTAGTGTATCATGACAACGGAAACAATGGAGGAGAACGAACAAGACTCAGTGGAGGAACTCATTCGACAGGCCCATCTCTACTATTACAAAGAAGGAAACTTTCAAAAGGCGAAAGAGATTTTTGACAGTGTGTTGGAAATAAAAACGAAAGAGTTAGGCGAAGATGATCCTGATGTGGCCTGTACTCTGTACCTGATTGGATTTCTTCTGACGTTGGAAAATCATGACAATGAAGCCTTGGAACAATTCGAAAGAGCTCTTGAAATACAGTTGAAGATTTTGGGTGAGAAACATAAGGATACGGCAAAAACCTACCAAATGATTGGCGAAGTCTATGGGTCTCTAGGCAATTTCGACAAGGCAGAAGAAATGCTCCATAAAGCGGTGGATATAAAGCTGGATATTCTGCCAAATGATGATCATTTTGAAGGGACGAAGGGTCTGTACCAAAGTCTAGCCAATTTACTGAAAAAGCAAGGCAAGTTTTCAGAAACAGTCAAGATATACAAATCCCAACTTGCAACACTGCTGAAAAAGCATGGGGAATGCCACTCTGACGTTGTGGAGGTATATGCTAAAATTGCAGAGCTGCTGAGAATTCAACATAGGCCTGATGACGCTCTTCAGATGATTGGAAAAAGCATCGACCTTTGCTTTCGATTGTTGCGAGAGCAGGGAAACTGCGACAACCAACTCCTGACAGAATTGATCGACAGCAAAGCAGATACTGCAATGGCACTGAAAAACTTTGAAGCTGCCACACGAGGGTTGAGTCTATCTCTAAAGATACAGATTGTGGAATTTGGGGAGATGCACCGCTTTACGGCATTGGCTTACCAAAGGCTTGGGGTAGTATATGCCCAACGAGACATGACAGAAGATGCCTTGTTGTCGTTTGAAAAAGCCATTGGGATTCTTCGAAATGTGTTTGGCAATGATCATCCTGAAACAAAAAATGCTGTACTGCATCATGGATTGACAACGGCGAAAGCCTGCGAGAATGTTTCGGCTCTCAAACTTGATCAGGGGTTGTTACAAGATGCCATTGATTTGAGTGCAGGAGCCCTCAAGATTCTCAGAAGGGACCTAGACGAGGATCATGCTACCACCAAGCGACGCATGGAAGCGCACAGATCTTTGCTGAAACTGCTCTTGGAGAATCGGGGCAATTAAGTGCGCGAGATGATGGCATCATCATGTTTTATGGCTGGGGTAGCTAGCTTCGAGGGTATGAATTGTGTGGTCGAATGAAAAAAAAGTGAGGTAGTATTATAACAATAATACATTGCAAATATTGGTCGATCCAACGATTGCTGTATGATATGTGCAGTATGCTGGATATCTTTCTTTGGTACTCTATGTACCGGTATATAGCTAAATTAAACTTAGCTGACTAGTTCGATCCGATCACGTTGAAAAACGTCATCCGAATTTTGGATTTTGACTATTTTATAATACTATGATAATCTAAAAATAAGTATCGCATCGAACTGATCCGATCATTGACTCACCAGTACATTCACCATGAAGCTTTCCACAGGAATCATTTTTGCCTCCATGGCCTTTGCTTGCGAGGCTTTTGTTCAACCTTCTTCTATTTCCCAAACCTCCACTATAAAGATGGTTGCTGGAGAACCAGCACCACAAGACGAACCCATTGATGTTTCAGCAGAGCGAGTGGAGCCGTATTACGACACTGCCAATGGCAACGTGAATGCCTTTTACGAGCCACCCATGGAGCAACAACAACAACAACAACAACAGCAGCAATTCTATGCTCCACCACCACCCAGTCCTCCGCTTCCCACCAATTCCAAGGCCATTCCGTTCATGGCACGGCCACAGGCGTTGGATGGATCCCTCGTGGGTGATGTAGGCTTTGATCCACTTGGTTTTGCCAAAACAGAGGGAGATTTGTTGAATTACAGAGAAGCAGAAATCAAGCACGCTCGTTTGGCCATGTTGGCTGCTGCTGGATGGCCGATTTCAGAATTGTGGGATGCCAAGATTGCCAGCAAATTGGCCTTGTCACCGGTGGTCGACGGAAGCTTTCGGGCTCCATCTGTCCTCAATGGTGGACTCGCTAAAATTCCAGCCGCCTACTGGGTATTTTGCTTCATCCTTGCTGGGACTGTAGAAGTGATTGGGGCCAGTGAAAAGAACAAGCCAGGATACACACCGGGAAATCTTGGATTTGATCCCATTGGTCTGTACCCCAAGGATCCTGCTGGACAAGGGCGCATGCAATTAGCAGAATTGAAGAATGGCCGATTGGCGATGATTGCCATTGTTGGTTTTGCAGCCCAAGAATTTGCCACCAAGACTGGAGTTGTCGTCGAATCTGCTGCCTTTTTTCAGCCAGCGTTTTGAATTTGGATGGGCTCCCTTTCTATCATCACCATTTGCATTAATCAAATAAGTGAAACTAATACATTATTGGCTCCGATATCCTCGCAACAAGCTAATGTCATTATTTACTAATGTAAAATATCTGAGTTTGGTGGTGCCAATGTCGTCGTGTTGACGGCCAAACAATTTGCGACGATTTGAAGAAAGCAATTGATTAGCTCTATAAATTAGAAGACATTGTTGATCTTTCAGCGTATTCTTGGCGATGGCTCTCATGCCATCCTCAAGAGTTCTCGACGGGAGAACAGGACGCATTGAGGGTATGACCAGGAGTAATACTCATGTACTCGATGTGCCCGTTCCGGTTTATTCGTGAATGAATCCTACACACGACTAATCATTTGTGACGTTGCACGCAAAAAGTATTCTGATTCAGAATAAGAACCAAATCATCTGATGGTTGGTTGGCAAACACGACCTGAAATCTGACTCACCTACATCTTCTCATTCTCATCGAGAAGCAATTTGTCGACGTGTTCTTGTCGATTGTCTCTAAGTCTATTCTGGACACATCATCACCTATCTTATGTGGCGCCACCAAGTTCCAGTTCTGACGACTGAATTCATGCAGCTACCGCCGGTAGAGACGAAAAGTGATGTGTGTCATTCACGTGATGATGTGTAGCTGACTCAACCACTCGTCATCCCCACAAAACAAAAACATTTCGACCGATTTCTGTCGTTCTCACAATCTCACAACGACCAAACAGTCAAACAGTCAAACAGTCAACCCAAATATAACAAACAAACAAAAATAAAATGAAGTTCTCTGCTGGAATCATCTTTGCCACCATGGCCGCATCTGCCCAAGCCTTTGTCCAACCATCGGCCTCCTTCTCCACTGCCCTTCGCATGTCTGACGAGGAACCAGTCGGAACTGAGGAACCTGTCTTCGTTGAGGAAATCATGGAGCCAGTTTCTCCAAGCATGTCTCAAGCTCTTCCTTGGATGGAACGCCCTTCCGCTCTTGACGGAAGCATGGTCGGTGATGTTGGTTTCGATCCTCTTGGCTTTGCCAAGACTCCTGAAGACTTGCTGAACTACCGTGAAGCTGAAATCAAGCATGCTCGTTTGGCCATGTTGGCTGCCGCTGGATGGCCACTATCGGAACTCTTCGATGCTAAGATCGCCACCACCTTGGGATTGAGCCCCGTCGTTGATGCCACTGATCGTGCTCCTTCGATCCTCAACGGAGGATTGGGCAAGGTTTCCCCTGTCTACTGGCTTGTCTGTTTGGCCGGCGCTGCCGCCATTGATGTTATCGGCATCAACGCCAAGTCCAAGCCAGGATACACCCCAGGAAACTTCGGATTTGACCCTCTCGGTGTCTTCCCCAAGGACAAGGCCGGACAAGAGCGCATGCAATTGGCTGAATTGAAAAACGGTCGCTTGGCAATGATTGCCATCACCGCATTCGCTGTCCAAGAGTTTGTTTCGAAGGTTGGAGTCGTCGATGAAACTCCCCTTTTCTTCAAGCCAATTGCCACAACCATCCACGAATACACCAACGCTGGATACATCTATCATTAGGCACCAAGCTTTATGATAGAATGATGATCATAAATGATCAAACGACTCAAATTTGAATAGATACAAACACTTTGCATAATATAATATACAGTCAACCTCGACCATATTTCTACAATTCAACCATGATTTGGAGTGTGAAGGGAATCTTAGATAAAGGAATTATCAATCTTTCCAAAAAGGTCGATTGATTCCACTCAAAAAGCAGCCAACGGTGGAAGTCGCATTTTGTTCCAAGGTAGTTTGTTTTGCGCACGCGACGGTTGTATCGGATGTGTTCAGATAGATCACTCGGACTTGCTCAGAAAAATCTACCAGCTACCTGCAAAACTAGACTTCAGCGCATCCTCCAGATCTGCATTTTTCAAAATAGAACTTGTGCGCAATGATCCGATATCTTCTAATTGTTGCGATTGCGTCTCATTGGCTCCCACGCGGTCCTGCGGTAGTCGTGAAACTTTCCCTAAAAGAGGTCTCCTCAATAGTATCCCCGAAGAGTGATTTGGACGAGTGCCATTGAAACTGTCACGCCGACTAAGTCGACTCGCTTTCCACGTCAGTACGAATGCGGATACTCCACAGCGATTATGAGATTATAGGTGCATCCTAACTTTCATTTTGTCAATCAAGAATTTTTGAGTCATTGGCACCTTAAAAATGTCCAGAGACGAGAGAAAGTCCTTTCTTGGAGACATTTCATCAACCTGTTTAAGCGTGGAAAAGTCCCAGAGGACCACAAAACGCCCTCTTTCCAAAAGAATGACCACGGACAATTTTTTGAAGCTCGTCGCGCGAAATTCTGTACTTAACGAAAACGAAGCTTTTTACACTCCGCCATGTCGATAAAAACTCCGATACCGGGAAAACTCAAACCACAAAATTAAATCGGAAACCACCTCACCTTTTGGCAAACCGAAGTATCACAATTTGAAACTATACAGTATTGCAACCACAGGCATGAACTCGTTAAACCTCAGCAATGAAGCATCCTCAACCTTGATAAAGAGATCAAGCGGCGGTAAAAGGGAGAGAAAGGAGTCTCTCAGATGTCAACTTTCCTGGGATTCAGCACCAAGCTTAGGCTCAAAATCCAAAGCAACCAAACCATCCCGAAGGTCAAGCATCGCCACCACAACTAGAAAACAGCGCTTGCTTTCCTTGGACTCGCCACCAAACTCAGGATCAAAATCTAAAGCAACCAAACCATCTCGAAGGGCAAGCATCGCCACTACAACCAGAAAGCAACGCTTGCTTTCCTTGGATTCAAGATCAGGCTCGACTTCAACGTCCAAAGCGTCACAACCAGAATCAACTACCACCGTCCTCAGCTCCACTGCCAAAAACCAACTCTTGCTTTCCTTGGACTTCGCACCATGCTCAGGATCAAAATCTAAAGCAACCAGACCACCCCAAAGGGCATCCACACAACCAAAAATTACCACAACCAAAAAGCAACGCTTGCTTTCGGTGGACTCTGCACCATCTCTTATTGGTTCGCGATCCAAACCAAGCCGAAGGGCGTCCATCCAATCAAATGTCACTACAGCGAGAAAGCAGCGTCAGCTTTCCTTGGATTCCACGTCTTTGGAATTGTGCCCCAAAGCAACTCAACCAAATCGAAGGGCATCCACCCAATCGACTGCTACTAAAACACGAACAAGCGGAACACCAGCCAAACCAGACCGTGCTCCCAAACGAAGCGTCAACAGAACCAAGAGTCTTGATGTCACAATGAGCCCGAAAGCAGAACCAAACAGAGGCAATCTGAGCAAGCGATCTTTCTCCGCACCATTGTCACCACTGGGACAAATTTTGGAACACAACAAGGGAGTAAGTATATTTTGATGATGGGTTGAAGAATCAAATCTGCTCAGATTTGTCACTAACACTACTCTCTTTCACTCTTCAGAAATCGAAAGTGAAACGCCGCTCGGCTTCTACCGATACCCTTCCAGTTGCACCCTTGACCAGCCGTTCAAATTTGGAGAAGCCAAAGAAGATACTTCGATTTCATGATCGACTCCGATACAAGAAGAGTGTCAGCTACGCCAAGGTCGATGCTGACTCCATCTGGTACTCACCTGCCGAGATCTTGGAACTTCGTGAAGAGGAGCAAGAGGTACAACGCGGTTTGGCTGTCGGATATGCACGCGCCTGTCGAGATGCCAATCTCTTGAATGTCGAGGGTTTGCTCACGGCGAAGGAACGACAAGCCATGGCTCTGCGAAGAGTCGATTCCAAACAGGCTGTCGCTAGTTTCCAAGCCTCACGAGAAGGTTACATGCAAGTGGACGATATCATAGCGAAAGAATATGCAAGCTATTCCAACCAAGCCAGCCGAGCTGCTCGCAAACGAGCAAATCGTCTTTCATCTCATGTGTATGCTCTATGGAATCCATACGAAGACAATAGTGATGATGATGAGACCTGGAATGAAACTGAAATCGAGCCTTCCGTGACGGTGGAGATGCCACCCTCAGTCATGCAAAAGCGCTCCTCTCTCAGTTTCAAGTTACCAAGAACTTCGTCGTTATCCAGCACGTCCACAGCTCTGACATCACGCACTTCGTCGACAAAAAGTTTTGGAGACGATGGTGGGGAAATGGAAGACCAACCCACAGGAGTATGGTACTCATTCCGTCGGCGCGTGCCCAGCTGTTCAGACATGTCTCGCAGCTCCTAGATGTGATGGGAACAACGAAATACGGTTTTCTCGTGAAACTCATCGTGTCCGATACTTCTTCACTTGACTGCGTCGGTTGGATGACGCTTTCGTTTTGATATCCATTGGGTTTCTCGTGCAACCCATGGCTGCAAAGCCACTTTGAATCGATGAGCTCTATTAGCCTTTCGAGGAGGGTCTTGCAGCTCATGATCCATGCAAATACGTATAAAATAAAATGCTACAAATAATATCCAGCACCAGTCTGTACTATTTCGGCTGAATGCCTGCCGGCGAGCATCGCATTGAGACTAGTAGTAATGCCGAAATTCGAATCTACCTCGTACTGTACCTAACGCTTTTGCACCTGTCCTCCGACACTGCGTGAAATTAACATCTTTGCTATTCCAGAGCTGCTGAACACACTACTAAGATGCCACAGCAATCCGAAGGGCGATTTGAATGGACGAGTGCAATTGAAACTGCAATATCCATATTATTTTTTGAATAGATGTTTCAATTAGTAAATGATGCTCTGATATTCTACAGTGTTTTGTCGGGAATGTTAATCGCTTGTGTTTACACTTTTCCTTGGACATACTCGTACTCAGAATAAGAGCTGTAGGTTCTGTTTCACTTTTGTCGTCCAGAAGATTTTGAGTCTAGTACATGACGTCTGAATCTCAAAGATTGCGTTTTCAAAGAATGCAGAGGGCTGGACTTTTGTAATGGCGAGACTCATTGGATGGCCAACCCCAGAATGCACATATGGTGACGGTGGTATACCTACTCATTGCGACAGTGCTTGTCCGATGCAGAACGTATATAGCATGGATGGTAAAATACTTTTGAGCTTATAGTAGTACATATATTCTACAACAGCTAGCTATAATAGTAGTACCTGCATAACCCTGGAATGTCTCGTACGTACAGTACAATATGATACCAGATAAAAATAATGACCGGGGTGATTGTCGTTCTGGGCGAAGGACAACAGCGTTTATATATGCTTCGGAGAAAGGCAATTTCAACACATATATATATATTGAATATTTCGGCTTTTCAAAATTCTACGGGGCATAGACAGAGCATGAACCTGTATCAGCAATTTATGTTCTTGGTTGCTCTTAGACTTTCGCGTTTCCTAAATGATGAAACGGGATTGCTTCGGGGCATAAGTGAACATGGAAAATGACACCTGGAAGTGATAAGCCCGAAATACGCAATATTTCTTACGCTTTCATGTCCAGAACTTCTGATTGTATTTACTGGACCAAAATCACACTATTTCGCATCAATTCATTTTTCCTTTGCATTCACTTGTACTATATTCCTGCATCATTGTATTTTGCATCATGGAAGAAGAAGCACAACCTCACGAGATCCCTCCACCACCAATTTCATCGGAGGCAATGCAACCATCAAGCCTACCGCAGCAGTATGCTGCAAATATCCTAATCAAATCGAAGGCTTCGACAGCATCGTCGGCGCTTTCTCGGCGCCGATCAGAACAAAACTTGCGAGCACCCAAGAGACGAAGCGGCTTTGGCAGCGCCAGAAGCCAGTCGCTGAATAGACAGTCGGCTTCCTTCCTGTCACCAGGCTTGTTGCGTTCTCCTAGTATTACACAGGCTCCTTTCACTGTTGGGTACATGGGCCTCAGCCCTGCCATGCGTGCAAGAAAATCTGCAACGGAACCCGCGAGTCCATCGAGAGGCACGTTTGTAGAGCCATTCCCAAGGCGTCGCATTGCCAAAAGTACAAGTCTACAAATGATGAAACGAAAGGCACATTTAAATGCCTCAACCGGGAAACAGGTGACCACACGATCTGTTTCATTCTCCGGCGCAGCGTCCACGAAGATGTCCTACAGCAAGGGAGTCAGCCCAACTTTGCGTGCTCGAAAGCAGGGCAACAGCGAGATCGGCCCAAGAGATAACAAGCCACTGCGACGCCAAGTCTCGCAGCGACAGCGGTCCTCGAGCAAACCTCAAAACGGCAAGAAGAACGAAGATACCGAAGCCTCCTTGTTGTCACCAACACCCGCAGCACCAGCTCCCCTTTTGTCCAAGAATGGTGATGACAAAGCGGCTACCAGCAAAGAGGAACAAGATACGGATATCACAAAGGGTTCCCGTAGGATTCGCTTCCACGATAAGATTCGATACAAGCATATCACCCATTCCAGAGTAGACCCAGATGCGATCTGGTACTCCAAAGTCGAGATTTTGACTCATCGTAAACGAGAGCTAGAAGTGAAAAAACAGTTTCGCAACTGTGGCAATGATACAATCTTGAATGTGGAGGGCCTGGTCACCGAAAAGCAACGCCGTGCCATGCAACAGCGTCGTACGGAATCCAGAGAGGCCATTATTGATATCCAAGATGCCAATCGGAAACAAAAAGAACACGAGTCCGTCTGTTCAGGCGACTCTCAAGTTACAGCTTTGAATGACGACTACGATCAAGACGAAGCCATGGCCGAGGAATACGAGCGACTCGCGGCACCAGCCACTCAAAGTGCCCTGGAACGAGCAACTCGGCTGGAATACCATGTGAATCTTTTGTGGGATCCCGTCTTTGGTTATGCTGGCATTGACAATTTTGCTGCTGGTCAGCAGGAGGAGAAGAAAGCTGAGGCCAGCCTTGATGTTCCTACCGCCGTGTCAAGAAGTCATCCAATGGATCTCGTAATGGCCCCAGGTATGGCAGCGTCTTCTGCCACCCGATCGTCGTCCGATCCCAATATCAAGCTCCGCAAGGCTGATGTCAAGTCGTGGCTTGGAAAGAATGGAACAGCAGCAGCAGCCCCGAAACTTCCAGAACGCCGATCCTCCGGCCAAAAGAATGTGGCGATTCGGAGGTTCCGCGTCAGTGGGAAAGCTACTAGTGTATTTTGAACGCGAAAGGAGCGAGACGAAGCTGGTATGGTGTGCAATGTATATTTGTTAACCATGACATGGGACACTCGTGATACCCATGATCATTGAATCAACTCGAAGTATAATGTAATCCTAAAAGCGCAATTTATCCACGCCATCCTCATCGTCAATGTTTTTGCCTATATACTGCATACCGGTATACCGGTATAGTATGTCAGTTTTAGAAGAAGTCTGGGTGATCGAATCCTATAGAGTCAAAGTGGTCGACGCGATTGATTCATGATCCGTTTTGTGTGTGTCATTGCAATCCTACAGGTACACAGGTTACTGTAACCTGAAACGTTCCTTCAATTCAAAAGAGAGCAGTTGCCAAACAAACGAAAGCAGAAATACCTCTCAAGAAGCTGATCAATAACGCAAGAGCGACAGTACAGAGAATAAGAGAGAGAGACGACACGACACGACAAGAACTCTATAACATACAATGAACCGTCAACGAAAGGTGGAATCAGCGGTTATTCGTAGCACCGTTTCTAGCGACATGCCTAGTATGGAGAAGCCAAGGACTCTTGCTGTCATTCAAGAGGCCAAGGACCGGGATGAGAATCACAAGTTAAACTCAAAAAAACGTGCTAGAACAGAGGAGTGTTATGAGAACTCCCCATCATCATCGTCCTCTGACACGTCTAACCCACAACAACAACAACAAGTCACGCATTCTTCGACACCCATCATGCCACGTGATCGACTCCGAACCATGGTGAGACACTTTGACTCCAAGGACAAGAGCGAATTCGCCTGGCGAATCCACAAACATAAAAAAAAGAAGCACCAAACCGAGTACTGGTACGACTTTGAACCACCTGAAAAATTCTGCTCGAACAATGCCTTTGTCCCCATTGAATACAATTCACAAATACCGTCGAATACCAAAAAGAACCAAATCAAAAAGAAGACCACTTCAGAAGTGTTGAAGAAAGGTGTCCAAGGAATTCATTTTGCCATTGGATGGGAGGAACTCTTTGGCCTGATATTGGATTGTGGAATATTTGGCAACGATCCATTCTTTCAAGGAGAATCGAGGCTTGATCCAGTTCACAGCGATAAACTTCCAGAGCTGATTGGGTTCCGACCAGCTCGTTTGGATTTGTCGGGTACCAACAACAATCTTAGTCGCACCACCGTGGGACACATCCTTGCAAGCGAAACAAGGAAGCAACCTCGCAAGGCCACTCGGGGAATCAAATACACTACTGCACCAAGTCCCAAAAAATCATTGTCAAAGCGCAGGGCAGGTCGGGATCCGTCATCCTGCGGCGAGTGGATTCCCACCACGGTCCAAGGCAACGCGAGATCCTCCTTGAGCCATGCCAAAAAGAAGGCGAAATCTGACAAGAATAGCAAACAGCCAGTCGAGAAAGATTCATTGTCGCTTGAAGAAGAATCAGAAGAGGATCTCATTGTTCCTCCGAAGATTACTGCTAGGAAAAGCGCCAAGTGTTCGGCGCCCAGTATAGATTTCAACACGGTAGCGATCCCCAGCAAACAACGACGCCAAAAACGACAAGAATCGATCCTGGATTCCGCTGGGGAAGAAGATCCAGTCGGAGGCAAAGACAATGCTGCCAATCATGCGGACGTCAAGACCAATCAAAATGAAGTAGAGTCTCACAAATATGATGATTGGCGACCATCCACTCCACCGACACCCCCAGTGCAATATTGGCTAGAGCTTTATGGGCAGCACGATATATAACGATCAAGGTATCACAATATATGAATGCATTAGGAACGTTCAATGATAATGATGATGCTAGCAGTCAGTGTAATTAATAGAAAGCTCTTTATTCCGATACCCGGCAATGATGCCAAGACAAACGATATATATGAACACTACATTAGCGATTGGTCCTGGACCAAGGTGACTGATGGCCACGTTATATCGCTACCATTATCTGCAAAGTAATAATAGCCCGTCTTATTCTTTCTGTATTTTGTACGTTAGTCCAGTCTTTGAGCAGATCCTATATTCACATTCTAGAACTATACCTTCTCCCTCCAACGAAGCCGCAGTGAAGCGCTATATCGTGTTTTGAGATTTATCTCACCGTGTTCTACCGTACGCTTTCAGAAACCTGTTCTATAATTTTAAAACAAAACGCAGAAACCAAAACAACGCGTTACACCGAAGTGACACAGCCATGACATCTTATACGTAAAGATTCTGGAACAAAAGTTACCCATGGCATTATCAACATAAATGTTTTGAGCCCTTCAATTTGCTGGTGTCTGAAAAAGCTCGTAAAACCTCGCCGAGAGATCGCAGATAGAATATGTGTGTCTGAATGATATGAGATATAATATTTCAGAACCAACAAACCATGAGCCTCTGGCTATTGCTGTGCTGGGCGATTGTCCTTGCGCTTTTTCTTCACAGGACAAATGGTTTCCTTACAATGGAGAATAAGCTGCGGATCCAGCGGAATTTTGTTTCAGTCGAAGGAGTCTCGCGGTTGTTTGCAGACATTCGGGAACACACAGTTCCTCATCCACAAGATGCCATAGATAAGGGTCTTCTGTCGATTCACGGTCATGGTGGAATTGCCTATAATTTTCTTGAGACAGAGGATACGATCAGTGCCTTTCGAGACATCGTATACGACGATGGTAGAGCTCATGGTCAAATCAGTGGAATCTTGAGACTGCAACTTGTGAAAGAAAGTGTGAGAGATCATGTGAAATCTATTGTGAATAGAACTATTGAAAACAGTGTTATTGAGAATGGTGGGACGATTCACCTGTATCTGTCGAAACCCAACTCATCAGCTTTGGCAAATCATACAGATGTGACGGATATTTTTGTGCTACAGCTCTCAGGAGCCAAAGAATGGCTTCTCTGCGACGCGGACGCACCTCAGTTTGCACACGAATTGGATCGAAACCTGAGAGGCAAGCTCGACTTGTGCACCACCTACAATGCAGCGGAAATGGATAGTCTGAGATGTGAACGGACAATACTTTATCCTGGTGATGCACTATATCTTCCAAAACATGTCGTTCATTCAGCTCAAGCTACACCTGATGGATTGTCGGCACATTTGACGTTTGGATTTGCGGAGAATACCTGTTCGGCTAATAAAATGGAAAATTGCGTCGCTGCTCAGTCCCGTTTTCAACACAGAGATCTTCAAATAACCTGCAATTCTCGCGATGGGGGAAGCGAGTGCAATGAAAATTGCGATTGCTCCTGCAATGGTAATTGTCAGGACGGAGAAGGTTGTACTACAAGCTGTGATGGCGGATGCACTGGAAGTTGCGCTTTCTTTATTTTTGGATGTGACTCAGATTGCAACACTAGCTGTGATGAGGGTTGCACTGGTTCCTTGAACTGCAACGATAATTGCTCTGATTGTTGTAACCGTGGTTGCACAGTCTGTCCAGGAGTCGATCCTCCACCAACGCCCCAACCAACTCCTGGGCCGACTCCTCAACCTACGCGTCCGCCAACTCCTGAGCCAACGCCCAAACCGACTCCTGGACCAACTCGTCGGCCTACCTCGGGACCAACTCCTAGTCCAACACCTGTACCAACTCCAAATCCAACACCTGTACCAACACCTGTACCAACACCTGGGCCGACGCCTGGACCAACACCTGCACCAACACCTGAACCAACACCTGAACCAACTCTTCCACCAACGCCTGTACCAACACCTGGACCAACTTCACGGCCAACTTTTGCACCCGTGGTTGGGCCGACTCTTCCACCGACTCCGGGACCAACCCCTCTACCCACACTTGCAACACCTGGGCCGACACCTGGGCCGACATCTGAACCAACTCCTCGACCAACGCCGGGGCCAACATTTGCGCCTGTGGTTGGGCCCACGCTTCCACTGACTCCAGGACCAACCCCACTACCAACATTAGCGACACCTGTACCAACGCCAGGGCCAACACCAGTACGTGTGATTGGGCCGACTCTTCCACTGACTCTTGGGCCAACACCTGCACCAGCACCTGCACCAGCACCAGCACCTGCACCAGCACCTGGTGGATCAACACCCGGTGGATCAACACCTGGATCAATACCCGGACCAACTCCTGGACCAACTGGCGGAAGCTTAGGGTCGACTCCTTCTCCATCGACATCAGAAGGAGAAATGCCATCGACAGGAACACCAACTGCTTCGCCTTCCTTGGTTTCATCTGCAACACCAAGTGTGGTTGCATCAGGATTCCCATCGGATGCGCCATCAGAGGAACCATCGAGCCAACCAAGTTTGGGGCCGACGATAGAACCATCCGTTGACCCAACATTTGCACCTGTGACTGGACCAACACCTCCCCCAACACAAAGGCCAACGTTGGTACCAACCATTACTGAGTCGGTTGGGCCTTCTTTCGGGCCATCAAAACTTCCAACAGGAATTCCTTCTGTACAGCCATCTCGCAATCCTTCCATCACACCCTTTGTGGGTCAGACAGCGGATCCAACGGCCTTGGATTCTTCATATCCTTCGCTATTGCCGACAGTAACAACTGAAAGACCCACTCGCAAACCAGCTATTGGTGATTCAGCTGGACCATCTATCGAACCATCAAACGATCTTTTTGCGGGGCCATTCTCCGAGTTGTCGTCAGTGCCATCGTCAGAGCCGATAGATAGGGAAGAAGATCAAAATTCGATATTTTCAGAGGCCAGTTTGGACAGCAGTACGATTTATGGAATTATTGGTGCAGCCGCTTTTCTCTTTGGTACATGCTTTGCGTACATATTCTTCGTTCGAAAAAAGAGGAAACAAGTGCTCAAGACAACAGTCGAAGTCAAACCGCAAGAGGATGGTACAATCAAGGTCAAAAGAAAGACTGAATACAGGGGCAATCATGCACCCCAAATTGAGAGGCTGGAGTTCCCAAATGAAACCACAGCGAATGCGAATGGTTATTTCATAGGGTCAGATGAACAGCAAGCCACAAGAGCTATGTCTAGTACTACCAATTTCCGAGCACAGCCACGGGAACAAGCACCAGCAAGGAGGACAGAACCTGAGATCCATGTCAAGGCAGAAGGCGACGAAATCCCGATGGCTGCAGCAGTCTCCGGGGATGATGATGGCAAAGTTCCCATTGCCGACATTGGACTTGGCAGCGTGGGTGCCTTGGCACGAAATGCTGCTGCTGAATCGGAAGAAGACGACGACGACATCCTTAATGGTAGGAAAAAGAAATATGACCCAACAGGAGCTACAGTTGTCGGCCATACTTCTTCTGAGGGACGAGTACAGGGCGGGAAGCCATCGGATGAACAAACCAAAAAGTCGGCCCGTCAGGAGAGAGATTCCAAGCGAACAGCAAAATCTGCAAATGCTGCTGCTGCTACTCCTGGAGCCGTTGCTAGCACCCCTGGAGCCTTTTCCTCGAGTACCGAACATGAATCGACAAGCAAGTTCCGCAACCTTATCAGCAGCTCTTCACATGCTGTAGCGCAGGCATCAAATGGGTCTTCGCGTCATGGTGACCCGGCATCTCGAAAGGCAAAAGATTATGATAAGGACAAATCAGTAAGGAGTCCGACATGTGGCCCAGGTGCACAATCTGTGGGTCCTGGATCTGCTGAAAGAGTGATCACGGACAACGACAAGGCCGCTCGAAAGGCAAGAGAACACGACGAAGCAACTACAATTCTAAGGGCTAAAGCTCTTTCGAATGACGGTGATGAGAAAGCAGGAGAACGTCGTCGTCGCAAAACCACTTCCACACATGGCCCAGGAGCACGATCCGTGGGTGGTGAATTTGCAACAAGTGCGATGCCAGGAGAGGATAGAGCAGCTCGAAAGGTAAGGGAACACGACGAAGCGACAGAAACTCAAAAGCCTAGAGCTCGATCATTGGACGACCACGAACGCTTGATGAATGGTGAATCTGCGCAAATTTCTATGACAGGGGAGGTCAGTGTAGTTGGAAAACCAGAGGAGCAAGACAAAAAATCTTCATCTCAAAAGTCTAGTAGAGCTTGCTCAAAGGACGGCCATGGCCGCTTAGTAGAGGATGGGGCATCTCGAAAATCCAACAGAGCTCGATCAAAGGATGACGATGAACGCTTAGTAGGAGAGGACGGGGCGTCTCGAAAATCAAAGGACCATGACAAACCAACATCATCTCGAAAGTCAAATAGATCGCGGTCACAGGACGAGGATGAGCGCTTAGTAGCGGGCGGGGTATCTCGAAAATCAAAGGAACGTGACGACAAAACTTCATCTCGAAAGACTAACAGGTCGCGGTCAAAGGATGACGATGAACGCTTAGTAGGAGAGGACGAGGCGTCTCGCAAATCAAAGGAACATGACAACGAAACTTCACCTCGAAAGTCTAACAGATCTCGGTCAAAGGACGACGATGAACGCTTAGTAGGAGAGGACAGAGCATCTCAGAAAGATCGAAAATACAATAGATCTTGGTCAAAGGACGACGATGAACGCTCTGTAGGAGAGGACGGGGAATCTCGAAAACCAAAGGAACGTGACAACAAATCTTCATCTCGAAATTCTAACAGATCTCGAAATCACAGATCTCCCAAGCGTGATGATGGCAAAGCAAAATTTGACCTCCGGTCTCCCCAGAGTGGCGATTGGGAATCCAAGAGCGAGGAAATCAAATTACACAAAAGCGAACACAGCAAGTCTCCCAAGCGACGAAACGATGACGAAACTTCATCTCGAAAGTCTGATAGATCTCGAAATCATAGGTCTCCCAAGCGTGATAATGGTAAGGCAAGATTTGATCTCAAATCTCCCCACACTGCCAAATGGGAATCAACGAGTGAAGAAATCAAATCTGACAAGAGTGAGAGTGGCAAATTTTCCAAGAGTGAGCATGGTAGCTTGTCCAACAATAAGCGTGGCACATTTTCCAAGAGTGAGCATGGTAGCTCCTCTAAGAAGGATCGTGTCAAGCTCTCACAGAGTGAGCATCTTAGCTCGTCCAAGAATCGGCGAAGCAATAGTCCACATAGAGGATCTTCATCGAGGTCTTCCCATCGGTCAGAGGAGGATTCTTCTGGTCAAAAGCAGCTCAAGTCCAAAAAAGATTCAAGGAGCACAGATCGATCTTCCAAGCAGGCGGAACAAGATGCCGAAAAGCTTATCCAAGCCATCCCCATTCTAGATCAGGATGAAGAAACCGATGCACAAGTAGCTTTTTCAGCATGAACAACATCTTAAAAATAGATACTAAATCTGAAACATTGTTTTGGCTGAAAGGTTCATTATTGTGTTTGCTACCCTTTAGGACCTAAAATATTGGTAGCTGCAATGATTCCTTCTGAATGGACGAATTTCGCATATTTTCCTTGTATTTGAATCGACGTACAATGTCTCTTTTCAACGGATTTTATACTTCAAATTTTTTCAAATCCAATTTCAGGAACACTCCCGAAAAAGTGGTAAATCTGTAAAAACGGGCTGATTCAGAATTTCTTGAAGGCGCGGTATCGTAGTGGCAGTTGAAAATATTTATCGTTGAAATGAAACTATTAGAAGAAAAGATTGGTATTCCTTCGTATTTATAGGCATTTCTGCAGAGAATCAACGACTATAATTTTTTCGGTAAAACTTTGCACTGGAAATCGTAGTATTTTGCAATTTGCTTAAAAAAGAGACTCTCTGCGACACACAAATGTTTGTCCTATCCAATATATAGGGTTCGAATGTCTTAAGTGACCGCTCTACCACATTCTACCACATTCCTACCACATTCCTACCACATTCTACCACATCCTACCACATTCCTACCACATTCTACCACATTTTACCACATTCTACCACATTCCTACCACATCCTACCACATTCCTACCACATTTTACCACAGTCTACCAACAAAATGTTTGCGCATTTTTTCGACATTTCGAGATAATAATCTTCTTTTTTCAATCAAATATTGTCCCATTTAATTTACAAAGAAATGGTGCAAGAAAACAGTGAAAAACTTGCCACAAATCCAGAACCTTGCTACAAATCCAACAATGGGGGATGAATACAAAGTTAGAAGAGCAATATGTGAAGAAATTGCTTCAGAAGATAGAGATATCCGGTCAAAGTAGATACGAATTCTCCTTCATCAGTTTTGTGAAAAAGAATCATGATTTCGAGTTTGTTGGAGCACCAGGAAGCAATCGAAGACGTGCTATCCGAAAGGTATTTGATAACATCAAAAGGAAGTCAACACTTGCCTATCTCGCATACTTGGACATGCATCTAGTTGCACGAGGTGCCGCGTTGAAAGGGGGAGAACATGAACTGTGATTTGCCATTTTTTTAAAAGAAAAATGATTTCGTTTTAATTTTCGAGTCTTTTTTCTTTGATTTCCGATAATTTACCACATTTTACCACAATCTACCACATTCTACCACATTCTTACCACTTCCTACCACATTCCTACCACATCCTACCACATCCTACCACATCCTACCACATTCCTACCACATTCTACCACATTTTACCACATTCTTACCACACTCTACCACATGCTACCACATTCGCGGTCATTTAAAAGATTTTCGAAACATTTATGACCTTTAATAGAGCTAGCATTTAAGTCGCAGAGAACATAAATGAAAACAATGCCAGGTGCGCCTTCGCTCGAGGTAGAGTTTCACCGAAAAAATATATTTTTGATTCTCTGCAGAAAAGCCTTTAAATACGAAGGAATACTAGTCTTTTCTTCTAATAATTTCATTTCAACGATAAATATTTTCAACTGCTACAGCGATACCGCGCCTTCAAGAAATTCTGAATCAGCCGATTTTTACAGATTTACCACTTTTTCGGGAGTGTTCCTGGTAGTCCACATCATAACTCAAATCTAAGCAAGTACCTTTCAGATTTGTGCTCACCTCCGTAAACATTCGTGGAAATTGTACCACATCCATCACAACAAAACTTTCCATTTTCGTTGTCAACCTTTGGAAGGCTCGTTAGCATCCACAACACCTCTCTTGGTTCACTTTTATTTCATAAACTCCTTCCCTACCCATTCGGTTAGCATAATATCAAAAAAAAAGTGAACCAAGAAAAGGATGGCAAGGTCGAATTTCCAGCTGGTTATTGATGCGTTGGATTCCATCCGCAGACTCCATCCCATTTACGAAGACAGATGGATGACGACACCAAACTGGGTGAAAGTGATCAAGCGTAACTTCAGATGTAGTGGAAAGCTTCATGGACATATAGGCTATGCCATGAGCCGTGATTCAATTTTTGTTCGACCTCAGTCATGCCACAATCAACAAGTGTTGTTGTTCGAACTATGTCTGTCAGGTTGCCCTTTGGGATCCACAGAGGCCCCCACATGCTGAGAGCGCCGAGCTCCAATATACAGTTTGCTTTATTGATATCTATTACAACGGCGGAGCATTATTTATTTACTTTATTTGTTTGATTTGCGAAGATTTTTGAGATTTCCTTCTTGGGTGTTGTCTTGGTTTCTCAGCCGCTCTGAATGTCCCTGTGGCCGCCATTGAGACAGCTATCAATTCAACAATACACCAAAGTCTCCCTTGGATACCTAAGGTTTGGACTTTTTGGGACCAAGGCAATGATTCGGCCTACATCAAGTATCATGAGGCCAAAATGGGGGCAGACGAGAGGTAAGTTTGTTATAAAATTCTGGAATTGTCGAATTCTTGGCCTAATTTCCTCAAACTTCCTTAGTCTAACACATATTCGTCGTCCATGGGTATATCCAACAAGGTTTGGCGGCTTGGAATGGGAGATTTTAAGGTAGAAGTGATTGAATTGCACCTAATTGACCTTTGTGGTCAATTTGGCATACAACTCAGGAGTGGCCAAGAATCCATTCCAGTCACCGTGTTGGTATCCAGACACGGAAAGACCCAAACAAAAGTTATCAATATACCTATCTATATTGACTTTGGGTGATATTTGCAATGCTGCGGCAGAAATGAGATTCCCGGCTCTGGTTTCCAGATGAACCCTTCTGAATATTTCAGGTGACTTAATTGAATGTTTCAAAATTCCATGCATTCTAGACCGAAATTTGGAATTTAAAATGGATAGGCCTCTAGTCTATACACTGTAGGCAAATAGTGCATATTCAAATTTTAAGATTTGTAAACAAAGAAGGTCATATCGTACAAGATGGGGCTCTTGCATCTTGTTCCAGAATTTCGGTCGGAGGTGTAGTCGATTTAGTCAAAATCCTATCCGACTCGATCGATCGTCACTTTTTGTACCAGGTCTACGCATTTTTTACGGGATGCAGTCTAAAATTGATCGGAGCTGTAATAAGTTAAAAGTGATTTCAATCCTTAATTTTCGCGCCATTTGAAGTCTTACACACGCTTTTGGTATTCGTCGCAAAGTCAAGGAATGAGTGGGAATTCGGATTGTGGGCGTTTCTGAGTTTTGATTGGCTATACATCGAAACTACGAATGAGAGGGATCATTGATCCAGCAGTGTATCCCATCCACCGGCACCACCCATCTCTTACCCTTTTGAAATATTCTTTCCATACAATTACCTTGTAATTCAACATCCGGATCTTTGCTATCGTAGCAAATGTTTCTGTCCTTGTTCAACCTGCTGAGAAATTGAATGCCGATGATAGGTCCTCTTCTGTAGGGTACTTTCGAACGTAGTAAAGACCCATTAAAAAATGCTTGAGATCGTTTGCAGGTGAATGTAGACCCAAAATGCAGTGCATGAAGAGACTCCAACAAAGTGATGCATGAAGCGGAAGACATTCGTCTTGCCCTTGGCACGTTTGATTCGCCGCGCTCACGGTGTATCCGCTGTGGAAAAGGGCAATATTCATTATCTCCGATGGAGTGGGAATGTGGTTGATTGGCGGCTCTTCATCCTCCATGGTATATTGTCCCAACAAATAAATAAATCCAAAACTATACAACTTCAATTTGAAAGTATAGGCTAACTCGGATCGTTGAATCGAAACTAGACAAACTCGATCCGAAAATAGGCAAACTTGAATCGTTGAATTCGAAAATAGACAAACTCGATTTGAAACTATACAAAGTACTTCGAAAGTAGTCAAACTTGATCCGAAAATATTACGGTTGGCGCAATACGTAGAAACGTCTAGTAAAAATAAGGGACATCTGGCTTCGGTTCGAAACTAAATTGTCCCATTCATAGTCAAATTAATTCTGCCCAAAGAAAAAATCCCCGTGTTTACACCGTCCCCCTATAGCTTGTAAAAGTGTTCCTCTTTCAAGAAAAACAACACAATCCCCCTAAAACGGACGAATGAAGGACAGTGTCGCAGGGTCCTGCTGAAGTCTCAATACTAATACTCTTGGTCTCATTGAAGAATCTTTTAATTTCTCGCATCATCTTTTTTTATATATTATTGTTTGGCATGTTCGTCCTTTGTTCTTCACTTTTACTGTTCGTTTCAGTCACACAAGAGAAAACGAGAAGCTTTGGTGCACTTAACGACTATTGAATAAAGCATAAATGTTTGGCGGGATCATCACTCATCTTCCTTCGCCATCGGAAAAAAACCACATGGTAACGCCAAAGCTTCAAGCATTTTTGAATGAAACAACAAAATACTACTGCCGCATTTGTATTCAGGAGCAACAAACCATGAGCTTCTGGCTTCTATCGTGTTGGACGATTTTTCTTGCAATTCGCTTGCATGGGACAAATGGTTTCCTTACAATGGAGAATAAACTGCGGATTCAGCGGAACTTTGTTTCAGTCGAAGGTGTCTCACGGTTATTTGACGACATCAGAGAACTCACAGTTCCTCATCCACAAGATGCCATAGATAAGGGTCTTTTGTCGATTCACGGTCATGGTGGAACTACTTATGATTTCCCTGAGACAGAGGACAAAATCAGCGCCTTTCGAGACATCATATATGACGATGAGAGAGCACATGGCCAAATCAGTGGAATCTTGAGACTTCAACTTGTGAAAGAAAGTGTGAGAGATCATGTGAAATCTATTGTGAATAGAACTATTGACAACAGTGTTATCGAGAATGGTGGGACGATTCACCTGTATCTGTCGAAACCTGAGTCATCAGCTTTGGCAAATCACACAGATGTGACGGATATTTTTGTGCTACAGCTCTCAGGAGCCAAAGAATGGATTCTTTGCGACGCAGACGCACCTCAGTTTGCACACAAATTGGATCGAAACCTAAGAGGCAAGCTCGACCTGTGCACCACCTACAATGCAGCGGAAATGGATAGTCTGAGATGTGAACGGACAATACTTTATCCTGGTGATGCACTCTATCTTCCAAAACATGTCGTTCATTCAGCCCAAGCTACACCTGATGGATTGTCGGCACATTTGACGTTTGGATTTGCGGAGAATACCTGTTCGGCTGATAGAATGGACAGTTGTCTTGGTGTACAGTCCCGTTTTCAACACAGAGATCTTCAAACAACCTGTAACTCTGACCAAGGCGGTAGTGTTTGCAATACAAGTTGTAATTGCGCTTGCACAGGCAGTTGCGACGGCCAACCTTGTTTTTCCAACTGTAATGGCGGATGTACTGGCAGCTGCGACAATTTCTTTTCATCCTGTGACTCAGGTTGCATCAGTAATTGTAATGGGGGTTGTCTTGGCGGTTCTTGTGACAGTAACTGCAATAGCTGTTGCAACGGTGGGTGCCTTGTCTGTCCCACTCCTCAACCGACTCGACCACCAACGCCTCAACCAACGCCTCAACCGACTCCTGGACCAACTCATCAACCTACCCCGGGACCAACTGCTCCACCAACCCCTGGTCCAACACCTATTCCAACACCGCAACCGACACCTGGGCCATCTCCGAAACCTTCTGATAGCCCGACTGATAATCCATCTTACAAACCATCGCAAAATCCGTCGAGAGAGCCATCGTCTGAACCATCTGGCCTACCATCACAAAAGCCGAGTAGAGAAGGAAGTTTAGGGCCGACGTTCACTCCATCGACACGACCAACAGGAATACCATCTATTTCGCCTTCGCTGGTTCCATCAACAGCACCATCGGAAGTACCAAGTGTTGTTCCATCCGAATCTCCATCGGATGCACCATCTGCTGAACCATCAAGGCAACCAAGTCTGGGACCGACAATAGAACCTTCTGTTGACCCAACATTTGCACCTGTGATTGGACCAACGCCTCCTCCAACACCAGGACCAACCTCGGCACCGACCATTGCTGGCTCTGCTGAGCCTTCTACAATACCGTCCGCAGCTCCAACTGGAATTCCATCTGTACAACCATCTCGCTCTCCTTCCATCACACCCTTTGTGGGTCAGACACCTCGTCCAACGGTCGTGGATTCTTCATCTCCTTCGCTCCCGCCGACAGAGAGTCCCACTTTGAAGCCAGTCGTTGGAGATACAGCTAGGCCATCGTTGGAATTCTCAAATGAACCGTCTGCTGAACCATCCATGGCACTTGATTCGGGACCGTCTGCCGTACTGTCATCCTCTATGCCCTCTTCAGAGCCATCCTTCGAGACATTTGACAGAGAAGAGGATCAAAACTCGATATCTTCTGGAACCGGTCTTGACAGCAGTGTGATTTTTGGAATTGTAGGCGCAGCCGCGGTCCTTTTTGGTCTTTGCTTCTTGTACATGTTTTTCTTTCGAAAGAAGAAGAAAAAAGTTCTCAAGGTTACAGTTGATGTCAAACCGCAGGAAGATGGCACAATCAAAGTCAAGAAAAAGACTGAATACAGGGGCAATCATGCACCCACCATTGAGAGGCTGGAGTTTCCCAATGAAGTGAATGCAAATGCCAATGGTTATTTCATAGAATCAGATGATCGGCAGTTCGGGACAGGTGCTGTGGCTACTACCAATTTTCGGGCGCAACCACGGGAACAAGCACCTTCGAGGAAAGAAGCCGAGTTCCATTTTGGGCCAGAAGGCGACGAAATCCCGATGGCTGCGGCAATCGTCGGGGATGATGATGGCCAAGTTCCCATTGCTGAGATTGGACTTGGCAGCGTAGGTTCTGGTGGTAAAGGGGAAGGCGAAGAAGACGACATCCTCAGTGGCATGAAGAAGAGAAAAGACACGAAAGGTGGCACAGTTGTCGGTCATATGCCGGTTAAGGATACAAAGGAATCCGCCCGCCGAGAACGAGCACAGGGCGGAAAGCAATCGGATGAACAAATCAAGACATCAGCTCGTCAGGAGAGAGACACAATTAGAGAGAGCGACCGACAGGCAAAGCGTGCAGCTCGATCTAAAACCGTTGCTATCACTCCTGGAGCCTTTTCCTCCAGTGACGAGCATAAATCGGAGAGCAAGTCCCACAAGTCACGTCGTCCTTCGAATGATGGTGACTTGGCATCAAATGATTCTTCTCATCACGGTGACGACCTAGCATCTCGAAAGGCAAAAGACTATGACAATAAGGAGAGGGTGGTTAGGGAGTATGTTATACGGGAAGGAGAAGACAAAGAGGACAGAGCCAGTCGAAAGGCAAGGGAACATGACGAGGCAACAGCTGCTCGAAAGTCTAGAGCTCGGTCAAAAGATGGCAATGAGAAGTCAGGAGAACGTCATCGAAGGGCAACGACTCCCACTCGAGGCCCAGGTGCACAATCTGTAGGTGGTGAATCTGCGAAAAGTTCGGTGCTAAGGGAAGACAGAGCAGCTAGAAAGGCAAGAGACCATGATGATGCAACACCAGCTCGAAAGGCTAGAGCTCGATCAAATGACAGCATTGATAAGTCAGGAGAACGCCGTCGACGCGCAACGACTCCCACACGCAGCCCAAGAGCACAATCGGTGGATGGTGAAACTCCGAAAAGTCCAAATGAGGCGAATCTCCGTTCTCCCCAAAGCGAAGATGGCAAGTCCCCCAATAGAAGAAGTCGCAGGTCTCCTACACGTGATACTGGCAAGGGGAAAACAGACCCTAGGTCTCCTCAGAGTGAAGATGGTCTGTCAATGAGTGAACGAGTCAAATCTCCCAGGAGTGAAAGAGTCAAATCTCCCAAGAGTGACCGTGGCAAGTTATCGAAGAGTGATCATGGTAGCTCATCCAAGAGCCGACGCAGAAAGATGAGCCCACATCGATCGTCTACTCCAAGCTCTTCACACCGACCAGACGTGGGTTCTTCTGATCATGGTAGCTCGTCCAGGAGGCACCAAAGTAATAGGCTACATCACTCCTCTCGGAGATCTTCTCATCGGCCCAACAATGATTCCACGGATCGAAAGACGCATCAACACAAGTCCCACAGACATTCCACACGGAGATCAGAACGATCTCCAAAGTCGTCAAAAGATGCCGAACAGGTTATCCCTGTTCTACAGAATGTGGAAGAGGAAATGGAGGAATGAGTAGCCCAAGCACTGGAGGGAAACTGTTGTAAGCAGGTTGCGAGATTCATCACTAGCTATCTTTTGATGATAATGTTGTTCTGAAGAGATCAAACTGGTGATTGGACTCACATCAACAGAACAATCGCATGACTTTGAACAATTTCAGATGGGCTGTTCGTTGAAGAGGTCGGTCGTATTTACGATAGTGCTACAACACCGAGTATGCATGCAGTACATCGAAATAGCGAATATCATACCCATGGGTATGCTATCATTGATTACATGAAAGCAACGACTGATGTTGATGTATTTTTTGTATCTATTGATATTATATTTTGTAATAACATTTTATCTTCGATTTATCCCATTCGAAGTTGGGTTGATGCATATTCATTTTAGTTTGTCTTTGAATTTCTCTTTTATTCAAAGTTCCATCGATGCATACTTCATTCATTCACGTTGTTTTCTTGTTCTTGGGATCTCGAACGTCCCTCTTACAATCAAATTTGTTGTTGTTGTTGAAATTAATGAAGCATTTGGGATATCTCGAGAGCTCCTCCTTATTGTCTTGGAATCTCTTTCCAAGCAAAGTTGTATGGATGCATATTGAATCTTGTTGTTTTTAATGAAAAAAAAGATATCGAGGGTTCCTCTTTTTGTTCTGGGGATGATTTTTGACCGACGCCGCCGAATGGATGGAATTTTGTGTCATATGCGGGTACACTTCGTGGTTGGGCAACTTTCCATTGATTCAACAATCAAGTTGTCCACATAGAGTAACTGCTACATAGTAGTATCGGGGGCGCTTCTCGGTTTGAGACTCGCCGAAACACCGATACAACAGCAGCTATCATGCTTGCCTTGGGCATTATCTCTTTTTACAAGATGCCACTCTCGACAAGTCCTCGATAATAATCGCGACACAGAGTGGGAATGTTCGTATTCATTCCCATTGTCGAAGATCTAATATGGACCATCGACATTCATATCGTCACCGTCTACATCCATCCAGTCAATTGAAGGTAGATCGACTTCCATTTCATCAATATCGACTTGCATCCAGACAATTTCAGGTAGATCGATGTCCATTTCGTCTTGGTCAACTTCCATTGCATTGCAGTCAACAGAAAGACAGGAGAATCGTTTAGGAAGATCGGCCACAGAAGCATCCACCTTGCTGCTTGCGGCGATTTCCAAAGAAGGATGGAGGGCAAGGTAAGTCTCCATCATTTCCGCTTCAATGTTGTCTCCAGCAGTAGCATCCCGACAATCAGATTCCGAACTGACATATATGGCAACTGGAAAAGGGCTGTACACAAAAGGACCAGCATTCAGAGGCAAAGAGTCAAACTTGGCTCTGTTTCGCTCTATAAGTGCTTGTCGTTGTCCGCCTTGACGGCGTTGTTCCGCGGTTTTAAGGTCATCCTTGATGTTGCGACGTGTTGATTTGATTCCAAAGGTGTTCATGTTTGGTTGTGTTTGCTGTTATGTGAAAAATAAGTTTGCTTGTAAGAAAGATATATGAAAAAGAAAGCTTGGCACTTTGTTTTATCAGCTTTTGCAGTGCGAATGTCGCAATGGCAAGGGTGCAAGTTTGCATCGTGGAAACACGCTCACGTTGGGTAAAAGAAACGACATTCACATTTCGTTAGCTAGTTGGAATGGCGTAAGGAAGCAATTCCAAAGTCGGAAGGAAGTGTTCATGGATCAAGTGTCTCTTCAATAATGAATCATCCATGATGGATGCAATAACTTCACCATTTACCATGGTTTCATTGATGATACGTATTACTGTAGATGACAGATGAATATTATGCATATTATCATTCAATTTGAATCTTGAAATTATTTTGATATACTCGAACAGTCAAAACGCACACGTACTTGATGTCCGTAAATAATAGTGGATATCGGACACTTTCTCGTAGGTACTTCTGTAGGCGATTTAGCATCAATATGAAAATATGCACTTCTTTAGTTCCTCCACCAGAATTCAACGCATCTCGTCATATATATCATCATATATGCGAGGTATCCCATATTACGTGCATCATCACGAACGCGTATCACATCATATTTCATGCTGCTGTAAATGTAGGTACATGTCACGTCGCAGGCATAACATACATCACACATACTTCCGTATCGCATCGTCTCCTGTTACAGTCAAAACAACCAATAATATATATCTCCACCCATCTCAGTATATATTGCAGCTTCTTGGTGATATAGGAAAACTATGATGATGACCTGCACTTTTCGTCACAACTGAGAGTAAAAATATTACATACAGAGATGCATGATGAGCCACTTTATATGAGCAATACGCGTCGAGGGCAAAGATGGGTTGTTTTTGTTGTGCTTTTGACGATTCTCGCTCGGGGTCTTTGGGATGTGGGAAACTTGCAACCAGATTCTTTAGCAACAAATGATAGGTTGTCTCTGGTCACCATCTCTTCCGCTCGTATCAGCAGCACAAATAATTCGTCAGATAACGGGATGTTGGCAGCTCAAGGATCCAAATCATCACATCATCAATCATCATGTCCTTCTGGGAACAATATGAAACATTTTGATGCAATGTACATCATGTATATGCCACAGCGGAGGGAGTATATAGAACAAGTGGTGGAATATTATGGCTTTGCCCATTGTTTCGACATTATATATGTACCAGCCATCAATAAGAGCTCCATCGACAAGCAATGGTTTCAGAACAAGGGATTCGTTGCTTCTCCTTTCAAATTGGGAATTGGCAAAATTGCCAACCATTTGACACTATTAAAGACACTCCGATTGTTCCTATACAACTCGGAGAATGGGGATGACAGCTTCAGCAACAACAACAACAACAACAACAATGAGGACCATAGTTGGATGGAATCTAGATGCATCATACTCGAAGACGACATTGCCACGTTGGCTTCTTCGGAGCAATTGTCAGGATGGTGGCGACATTTCTCGAAAGTAGTTGGCGATATGAAGCGGTTGGATTGGGACTATGTCAACTTTGGAAGATGTTATGCCTCTTGCAAGAATGACAATCATGTGATGAATGATATCGTTCACTACAATCAGGCTGCCTGCACCCATGCAGTCGGATACTCGTATGCGGGTGCACTCAAGGCGATGCAAACTTACCTTCCGCTCCGTGACCGATCCAATGATTTGATGATTGCAGATCAGATTACAAGTGGAAAGTTTGACGGGAAAGCATACCAAATCACACCCATCCTATTCAAACAGAACGAGACAATGAAAAGTCTTTTGACAGATCATGGAAAGAGCTGGGAGAAACCAGAATGCAGCGATACTGTAAACCAGTCATGATGATGCTGGACTAGGGGATTAAGCACGCGAATATGATGATGCTAACAGTGAAGCGCGCGAACTATGTTTGCAAATCCATCGCTGCTTTATTTCGACCCACCCACGACTATTACACATCGGCAAACTCGTTTAGGACCTCCAAAATGTTCTTCTCTGATATGCAAATAATAGATTGATTCCCTTTTCAGATCCTTTTGAATTGTTTTGCGTTGCACTATTAAAAACTATGGCCACGTTCTGTTCACTCTACTTGATTGTTCGGCTTCAGTCTGCCTTGATATTTTGTCTCTTAGAAGCCGAAGGACTCGCACCATCTTCGTTATTGTCATCGGTGTTTCCACAGTGCTCAAAGATGTCGGAGTTATCCTGTAGTAGGGAGAAAACAACAGAAGCCCTTGGCCTTTTATCATAGACCAAGTCATTCTCGGCAAAGTAGTTGATGGATGAAACCTGTTGGAAGAGCAAAGGCCACAAACCCGGCGAGGCTTGGAGGCAGTTACATCCTCGATTTACGTTCACTGTGTGAGACATCAAATTGTCATCCTTCGTGCTAGTACTATCCATTCTCACCAGCTCGAGGCTTGTGTTGTCTTTTACCGCTTTCCAAATCGATTGAAGCGAATCGCTTTGCTCAAGTCTTGGAAGCGAAGAGAAAAACGGGTTGGACGGGTTGAACTGCAGCAATCAACGACGCTTAAGACTCTTCATTTTTGGAATCTTGAAAGCAAACTTCATGAGCGAGTCAAATGTGATCAAATTGAGTTGTAGATGCAGCACTTGGATCGGGCAGTCCTCCTTGGATAAAATCGATTCCAACGTCGATAGATCACAGATGTTGTTGTCTACGAGACACAAGGTTTTCAAGTTTGGGAATCCATTGCACAATCTTTCCAATTCATCACCGGCGACCACGAATGACATCAATTTGAGTCGTTGGAAGCTTCTACATTGAAATAATTTACCTTCACTGCTTGTGCGGTCTTGCAATCTACAGCCTTCACGACTTAGCCATTCTCGCAATGTCTGCATCACTTGCTCTGACATCTTTGGATTGTGGAGAGTCAAGACACGGAGGCGGGGGTGGTTTTGTAATGTGTGCAAGAG